GTGGCCTAACAAGTGGAATTAAGAATTGTAACAGCCTGCTTCTGCTACAAAGTATTTTTGAAATCAGCTTTATTGAAATATAACTGACACAGTAAATGGCACATATTTAAAATGAACAATTTGTTAAGTGTTGATAAATCTACATCCATGAAACCATCACCACAATCAAGATAGTGAACATACCTACCACCACATGCCCCTTGGGAATCTCTCTGCCTAAAGTTCAGCAACCACTGATGCGAGTTCTGTCTCACTATGGTTTAGTTTGCATTTTCTAGAGTTTCTATAAGATTTTCACATCATTTCATCACTACTTCACAGCCCACTGAGCCGAAAGTAGTTCACAAACTACTCACTTTGGTTTACATCAATTCCTAATGTAGCAATTAGACTAGCAGCCAAAAAGTTGATACAACTCAAAAGGAGGGTTTTGGTAGGCTTGAGTACATTTTATGTTTTAATTCATTGCCAACATTAAAAGCTGCAGCTGTATTTAAAAACACCTGGCACTTCCCTAGTGGTCCACTGGTAAAGAATCTGCCTTCCAATGCAGATTTGATCCCTGGTCCAGGAACTAAGATCCCACATGCTGTAGGGCAACTAAGCCAGCAGGCCACAAATAGAGAGTCCATGTACCACAATTACTGAGACTGTGCTCTAGAGCCTGTGCTTGGCAACAAGTGAAGCCAGTGCGCGCCGCAACTAGAGAGAAAAAAGCCTCCCCACCCTCAAATATCTAGCATTCCTGGGCCTGAGTTTCTGCTTGAAGACAATCTTCAAGAGTTCCACTACTGTTCACCACCATTACCAGTGGGCTTCCTGGCAGATATTAATGTTCCCATTTTCTCTTATAGCAAAGGAAAAAGTAACTTTTTAACCCATTTTTCTATCAAATTTTATTATTCCTTGCCTGTGTTTTACTCATTACCTAGCAGGGCTTCCCTGATAGCTCAGATGGTAAAGAATCCACCTGCAATGCAGGAGACCCTGGTTCGATTCCTGGGTTGGGAAGATCCCCTAGAGAAGGGATAGGATACCCGCTCCAGTTTTCTTGGGCTTCCCTTGTGGCTCAGCTGGTAAAGAATCGGCCTGCAATGCGGGGAGAGACCTGAGTTCGATCCCTAGGTTGGGAAGATTAACCTGGAGAAGGGAAAGGCTACCCTATCCACTCCAGTATTCTGGCCTGGAGAATCCCACGGACTATACAGTCCATAGGGTCACAGAAAGTCGGATACAACTGAGCGACTTTCATAGCTGGCCCTTGGAGGCCACTGTTGACCCTTCTCCGAACATCACTCCTCTCGCCCCATGCATACATTGTTCTATTGTTTTTTATCTCTGCCTAGAACACCCTATTCTTATGGAAATCCATCAAGGCCTGATTCATATGTTACCTCAAGAGATTTCCCACATGCTTTTCTGGAAATAATGAGGGCCCTGGTTCTGAGAGACCTGAATTCCAAACCTTTTTGAGCTTGAGTTCCACCTTTTACCATTATATCAATACTGCCTCTCAATGTTACTTGGTAGACACTACCTAAGGGGTGGGGAAGAGCATTGCCCTGAAGTCTCTCCAACTAAGGAAAGATATTTTAACATCTTAAGAGCTCTAATATACGCAGAGTTCCAAAGAACAGAAAGGAGTTCCAAGGCTTTCTATTCTTTGGAATATTTCTATTCCAGAATAGAAAGCCTTCCTCAGTGATGAATGCAAAGAAATAGAGAAAACAATAGAATGGGAAAGACTAGAGATCTTTTCAAGAAAATTAGAGATACCGAGGGAACACTTCATGCAAAGATGGTCACAATAAAGGACAGAAACGGTATGGACCTAACAGAAGCAGAAGATAAATGTAGCAAGAATACACAGAAGAACTATACAGAAAAGATCCTAACAACCCAGATAACCTCGATGATCACTCACCTAGAACCAGATATCCTGGTATGCGAAGTCAAGTGGCCTTAGGAAGCATCACTATGAACAAAGCTAGTGGAGGTGATGGAACTCCAGTTGAGCTATTTCAAAACCTAAAAGAAGATACTGTGAAAGTGCCACACGCAATATGCCAGCAAATTTGGAAAACTCAGCACTGGCCACAGGAGAGGAAAAGGTCAGTTTTCATTCCAATTCCAAAGAAAGGCAATGCCAAAGAATGTTCGAACTACCGCACAATTGCACACACTTCACACTAGCAAAGTAATGCTCAAACTTCTCCAAGTTAGGTTTCAACAGTTCATGAACCAAGAACTTCCAGATGTACAAGTTGGATTTAGAAAAGGCAGAGGAACCAGAGATCGAATTGCCAACATCCACTGGATCAACCTAAACAGCATATTAAAAAGCAAAGATAGTACTTTACTGACAAAGGTCCATCTAGTCAAAGCTATGTTTTTTCCAGTAGTCATGTATGGATGTGAGTGTTGGACCATAAAGAAAGCTGAGCGCTGAAGAATTGATGCTTTTGAACTGTCGTTGACAGTTCAAGACTCTTGAGTCCTCTACAACTGCAAGGAGATCAAACCAGTCAATCCTGAAGGAAATCAGTCCTGAATATTCATTGGAAGGACTAATGCTGAAGCTGAAACTCCAATACTTCAGCCACCTGATGCTAAAAACTGACTCATTGGAAAAGACCCTGATGCTGGGAAAGACTGAAGGCAGGAGGAGAAGGGGACGACAGCGGATGAGATGGTTGGATGGCATCACCGACTCAATGGACATGAGTTTGAGCAAGCTCCAGGAGTTGGTGATGGACAAGGAAGCCTGATGTGCTACAGTCCATGGGGTCACAAAGACTCGGACACAACTGAGCGACTGAACTGAAGAGCTCTAAAACAATGCACAATTTGCAAAATAATTAAAAATATTTTCTGCCGTCTCAGCCCCCAGACTGATGCTAGGTTTTAGGACTAGAGCTTTTAGCCAACAGTTCTTGCAATATTCAGTGACTTGTAAGCAAATAATCTCAAAACCTCCCCGCTAATGCTAGAATAAAACTCTGTCCAGACCTAGAGAGCTAAAACAAACTGCAGAGAACTGAAAAGACTTTGAAGTGGCCTTTGAGTTAGGTGGGCCACAAAGATTTTGTTTTGCCAAGAAGGGAATTTTGGAAGGTAGAAGAGCACCTACAAAAACCTGGGAAGTCCTGGAAACAGTAAAAGTATAGATGGAACAAAAAAGGCTGAGGGCATAGGTAGTACTGGCTGGAAACAGAAGCCGTATCAGTTAGGCATTTAATACAGGCACAAAGATTATTAACTTTTATTCCACTATCTAATAGACAAATGGATCAAGTATTGCAGTCGGTCTCACATTTGTCTTGTGGTCTCACAAGGAGAAAAGCTTGGCTTTTTTTCCTCTTTAGCCCCAGTGCAACTGGAACTTTGTAGACGGTGCGCCGTGCAGAGAAAACGCTCAGGAATCTGCTGAGGCCAAATTTCCCCTTGCAGGGCCCCCTCAGTACCTTCCAAAGAGCCACTCGAGCTGGTAATGAAGATGGAAAAATGTTACTTTCCAAGTTATCTTGGTTCATCCTCAAGGAAAGCCTACCATGGGTGGTTATTCTGAGTAAGAGGCGGGTAGTGCAGTGTTAGGATGGGTGCCAAACTTCCTGGCTTTGAATCTGCTCTCATCAGTCATTAACGATGTGACCTTGGACAAGATACCTAACCTGTGTCTTACAGTCCAAAGCTGTAAATTGGGAATAACAAAAGGTACAGTATTTAAGATACTGGGGAAACTAGCGTTAAAAAAAAAAACTATTAAAAAATTCTATTTGAATATGGAAATTGAAGCCCTGGGAGGGAAAAGAATGCCCAGTCACACAGCAAATTAGTGATGAAGTTGGGACTGGAATACAGGTCTGATACCCTGCCCAGTATTCCCCTACTCCTCAGAGTTCCTAGACAGTCACAGATGTTCACATGGACAGAGGAGCCTGGCAGGTTACAGTCTATGGGGTCGCAAGAGTCGGACACAACTGAGCGACTAAGCACACACACACACACACATACACGTTCACAGCAGGAAGGACGCGGTAGTGGAGGCATGCATAAAAAAGTAGCGTGGCGAAAGGCTCTAGGAGCTGAATCATAGCTTCTGCGTGATAGAAACGAGCTTGACGTGAGTATTTGTGCAGAATGACTGACTCCTTTCACACCTCCTGGGTCTGCGGCTTCGAGGACTGAAGCCCTATTGCATCTTGGGAGGCAGGGGTTAGCCCCGATGCATGGAGGGACGCGTAGTCCTTCCCCTCCCCCGCCTTTCCAACTCACCCTCCTCGGAGGCCGCCTTCGCTTCATCTTTCCCAGCAAGCCCCGCGCTAGCGCCGGCTATTGATTGGCTGCGGCGCGAGCAGGAGGCTCTGCCGGCAGCAGTTATCCAGGGTTTCCGGTCCAAGGCCAGAGCGGGCGAAGCCGTCGGGGTGTCGGCGGTGGGGGTGCGTACGGCGGCAGCTAGGGGGAACACCGCGAGCAGAGGGTCTGTGGTCTCAGATGGTTTTGGCCGGTGCGGGGAATCGCGCGGGTTCAATGTGAATGCTCGGGCCTGGGGGCAGGGGGGACAGGGCTGTGGCCTGTGCGCATGCGCGGGGCGGCGCGCGCGCGCGGCTGTTGGGCGAGCGGGGCGTGGGTGGCTGCGCGCGCGACGGGAGTGCGCCCACGTGGGGTCTGGGGGGCGGAGAGGAACCGGGAATCCAGCGTCCCGCCACGTCAGTCCCGGCCCTTGAGCCCGTACCGCGCGCGGCCTGTGGTGAGGGGCCAGTGTTGTGCCGAGAAGTGGCTTCTGGAAAAAGGAGGCCTGGCTGGACACACTGGACTGACCAGAGGCTGGGAGAACCGCTGACTCCCTCCGGTGAAGGCCTGCCGGTTTGTTTCCAGCTTTGCGCGCCCCCCCGATATTGGGATTTCTGATCCAGGCTGAGGAGGACTTTTCAAGTCTGGAAAATAGCAATGTGTTTGTTTCTATAGGATCTGTTCCTAACCTGACATTTCATACTACAATGAAGAACCAAGACAAAAAGAATGGGCCTGCCAAGCAATCAGGCAACACTTCCAACCCCAAAAACACTCCGGGGCAACCTGAAGCAGGACCTGAGGGAGCCCAGGGGCGGCCCAGCCAGTCGGCTCCTGCGACAGAAGCTGAAGGTTCCACCAGCCAGGCTGCAGGGAAGGCAGAGGGTGTGTGCCAGCTCTGCTTTTCCAACGCGCAGGGGGAGGAGTTTGTGGCGCGCCGGTCTAGCTTCTGGAATTAGAGGCCCAGGCCACTGTTTACCCAGGAGAGAGGAAATGTGGAGAGGAGGCCAGCTCTGAGTCTGCGCAGCCCCCACCAGGCGCTGGGGAGTGGATAGAGCCTACCATTCAAAGCCCAGGGTCAGACCTCTGACAGGATTAAGTCAGGTTGAGGTTGGCGGTCAGATGAGACTCCCAACCAGCAAATCCAGGTTAGAAACACCTCATTCACCAGTGGGTAACTGATGTTTATACTTAAGGCATTTCTGGTGCTTTTTTTTTCCCCTCTCCCAGAGAAGGAAGGATTTATTACTTGACGAAAGTAAAGAGAAAACTTGATTTCCCAAAACACTGTCTCCTCTAGAACTCTTTTTTTTTTTTTTAACACAGCACCCGGTGGCTTGCAGGATCTTAGTTCCCATCAGGGATGGACCCTCCCCCCACCCCCACACCATGAAGCCCAGAGTCCTAACCACTGGACTGCCAGGGAATTCCTTGGAACTTTTTTAATATCAAGAGGCAATATTGGCAGGGTGGAGAAGGGAATGGACTAGACTTAGAGTTTAGATGTAGAGGTCCTGCTACATGATGCCACCCCTGTGTGTTGGATGGTCTGCTTACTTGATTTCTTTTTCTTTTCCCCAATTATTTTTATTAGTTGGAGGCTACTTTACAGTATTATAGTGGTTTTTGCCATACATTGACATGAATCAGCCATGGATTTACATGTGTTCCCCATCCTGAACCCCCCTCCCACCTAGTTGATTTCTTTTATGCTCAAAACAAGCATGGTTGGGCAGTAGTGAGAAATAGTTATGTTGGTTTATAGGGAAGTAAACTGAGGCTTAGAGAATTTAGGCAACATTTAACCCAAACCAGTATGTTTGGTCCTGAAAAATCCCAACCAGAGGCCTAACCATCTTATTTTCCTCTTCTGCCCTTCAACCTCTCCTGTAGGAGCACAAGCCAAGAGTGCTCAGTCTGGAGCCCTCCAGGATGTCTCTGAGGAGTTGAGCCGCCAGCTGGAAGACATCCTCAGTACATACTGTGTGGACAACAGTCAGGGGGGCCCAGGCGAGGATGTGGCACAGGGTGAGCCTGCTGAACCCGAAGATGCAGAGAAGTCCCGGACCTATGCCTCGAGGAATGGGGAGCCTGAGCCAGAGACTCCAGTAGTCAATGGTGAGAAGGAAATTTCCAAGGGGGAGCCGGGCCCGGACGAGATCCGGACCAGTGATGAGGTCGTTGACCGAGACCACCGAAGGCCACAGGAGAAGAAGAAAGCCAAGGGTCTGGGTGAGCAGAGAGTAGCTACTTGTGAGGGGAGGGAGTTTGGACCTGACATTTCTGGGCTAGCCTGCTCTGCAAGGATTCAGAAGAAACCCGACTTCCAGAGCTGCCAAACCATATAGTCTAATCAAAGCCAGGACAGTGGGGCCATCACGTAGAGGTGTACGGTTGTTCACTGCATTAGGGGAATAAGTGGAAACCAAAGTCCAGCGTACTCTTTGAGAAGATGGAAAGTAGGAGTCATCAGTAGGCATCCTGTGCTGTCACCATTTCTAACTTGCTTTGTGACCTTAGGCAAGACGTTTCTCCTCTTTGTTCCTTAGTTTTCACTTCTCTACACAATAAGAGAATTGGACTAGACCAGGGTTGAAAACTCAAATAAGTTAAGCTTAGCCAGAGGGCCCCAAGAGACCAAGAGAATGCCTCCTTTATCCAAAGGCTTGACTGCCACCTGGTCCCAGTGAGTTGATAGTATGTTAGAACTGCAGCTGGCTGCTTTTTTTAGCCAGAAACATAGAGTTATGTGAAATCTCTAGATTTGTAACAGTTGGCAACTAATAGGATAGGAGCCAAACAAAACTCATCTGTGGGTTGGATTTGGCCTGTGTAACAACGATTTGCCTTCTCTGCGTTGGTCTCTCAGAGCCTCCAGGGGTTGACACTTCAGGAACCTGGCAGAGTGCTGTGCATGGTGGCCCCCTCTGACTCAGGCACAGCCAGTGGAGGAGTCACTTGGGTGGGGATGGAGAGTGAGTGGGTTAAAGAAGCAAAGGTGATATTATACTCACATCTTATGGGATCACTACTCCCCCACCCCCTCCCTGTTATCCTAATTTAAAGAAGCATTTGGGTTTTTTTTAATCTTATCATCAGATATTGAAAGGTATATTTATTTATTGGCAGGGGTATAGTCATTTTAAAGTGCACTGTTGGCTGCCTCTGTTGACTGGAGTGCAGTGTTCTTGAGGAGACCTATTCCTTTTGTGTCCTTCCTTTTTCAGAAAGGCTTTCTTTGCGTTGAAAGTGAAAGTCGCTCAGTTGTGTCTGACTCTTCACAACCCCATGGACTATACAGTCCATGGAATCCTCCAGGCCAGAATACTGGAGTGGGTAGCCTTTTCCTTCTCCAGGGGGTCTTCCCAACCCAGGGATCAAACCCAGGTCTCCTGCATTGCAGGCGGATTCTTTACCGCTGAACCACCAAGGAAGCCCTTCTTTGCATTGAAACAGCACTGAATTCACAGGTGGGATACCTTTTTTTCACCTGTAGGTAGAGCGGGCAGTTTTCTTTCTCCCACTCCTGGTGCTTACCTCTGAGATTTCATAGAGACTCATTCTTCTTTTTTTTTTTAAGATCTTTGTGTAATTGGTGGATTGATTCATTAATTGTTTCGGCTGCACTGTGTGGCTTGCGGGATCTTAGTTCTCTGACCAGGGATTGAATCTGCGCCCTTGGCAGTAAACACGTGGAATCCTGGACTGTCAGGGAACTTCCTCAGTCCTTCACTGAATAAGTATTTGTTGAGTGTGGCCTCTGTGATGGGCACTCAGGACGGTACTGGGGCTATACTGGTGGGCAGAACTGAGTGGGTCCCAGTGCTCCTGAAGCACACAGAGGAGCGGGGAATGAGCCAGGTCAGCGAACGGAAACGTCAAGTCTGATAGGCGAGAATAGGGGCCCAGACCCAAAGGGGCCTCCAGAGAAGGGGCTACATGGCTTTGCTCCCTGTGCTCTGCAGGAAAGGAGATCACGTTACTGATGCAGACGCTGAACACGCTGAGTACCCCTGAGGAGAAGCTCGCGGCTCTGTGCAAGAAGTATGCCGAGCTGGTCAGTGCTCCCCTTTTTTACACCCTCCCTGCCCTGGGAGGTTGGCACATTTTTAATTACCCCAAGTTGCATTATGTTCTTCCTATGGCGCTGAATATGCTGATGGGAGGGGAGCCGAGCTGAGATGGGAAAGCACCAGGTCTAAGAAGGTGGTGAAGGTCTGTGAGGAGGAAGCAGAAGGATTATCTGTCAATAATGAAAAGGCCAACATGATACTCAGAATCATATTGAGAAGTGAAATGGGGAATCAGGGTCTGTTGCTGTATATAGGGAAGAGGGTAGCAGGTGGGCTGGTCTGTGGACACAGGTGTCCTGAAAGTTGGGCGAATGTCGTGGTTGAAGAGTCTTACGAGCTTTGAATCTGGAGTCACAGCTTGGAGAGAAACTGGCATCTGCTGGCTGTGAGCCTCTGCTGGTTGGTCCTCAGCGTCCATTTCTGTATCCTTGATGTGGGGCCTTTGGGGTTATTGGGGTCAGTGTGTGAAGCACCATCATAGTGTCTAGCCTGAGCTGTGATGACTGGAGTTGGGTCAACTCTGGAGACTCTGAGTCCCCACGGGGCTCTTCCTCCTTCCCTGTCTCCAGCTGGAAGAGCACCGGAACTCCCAGAAGCAGATGAAGCTCTTGCAGAAGAAGCAGAGCCAGCTGGTGCAGGAGAAGGACCACCTGCGCGGCGAGCACAGCAAGGCCGTGCTGGCCCGCAGCAAGCTCGAGAGCCTCTGCCGCGAGCTGCAGCGCCATAACCGCTCCCTCAAGGTGCGCCATCCGCTTTTCCTGACTTCGCTCGTCTTCAGTAGCTTTCCCCCTCAAAGTAACAAGGGCTTTGGGACAGAAAGAGATTGCCTCAGTGACACAGTGCTTAGAGCTGCTTAACCACTTACTGTGCACTTGTATTAGGTGAGGTAGAGGTTAGATGCTGAGGGAACCGGGACGAGGGGCTTCACAGGTCTCTCCATTCCATAGAGTCCAGGGGAGCAGCCCTTCACCTGGAGGGCCGTCAGTCAGGCCTCTGTCCTTGCTGCTGTGCTTCACCTGGGTCGGGGTCGGTCTGAGTAAGGCTTGCTCAGTACTGTGACCTCCAGATCGTTAAATATACCCTTTGTGGTTCTTTAAAACTTTGCGTCAGTAAGTATATTTTGCAACTTGTTTTGCTCAGTTTTATTGTTTGTTCTAAAATGTTATAAATTTAATATTGATGTGACAGAGAGTAAAAGGTGACAAAAGTCTAACAAATCAAAGGTAATTATTGCCCACCATCCTCAACCCCAGCCCCAGTAGAAACTAATGGGAAACAGACCTACTTATATGTAAGTTTAAGCATAGCCTTCTAAGTTTCCTGAGTTTAAAATGTAACATAGTTTTGTTTTATTTTGTTTTTTAATGAAATTATTATACATGTATTGTTTCATAGCCTATTCCATTTTCTCAATGCCTCATCTTTCCCTATCACTTATATAAGCTTGTCTCATTCTTTTTAACAGTGGCATTATATGGATGCACTGCATTTACTCACTACCCTAGTTAGTGTGTTTTGTGTTTCCAATTTTTCACTGTTACAGAGCTACAGTGAAAATTCTTTTTATATATCTCTGGCTAATTATATAGGATTTATCCATAGGCTGAATCTCAGAAATGAAATGTCTAGGTCAAAGAGTATCAAATTTTAATTTTAGTAGATTTTGCCTTCCCACCAATAGTGTCCAAGTGCCTAATTCTGCACAACCCTACCAACCCTGGGTATTACTGAATTTTAACTACTTGTTGAGGGTGAGGGGGTCATAGATAAAAGCACATTTAATTGAGACTAATAGATCTTCCAAACTTATTCTGAGGCCAGGAAAAGTAGGCTTCAGGAAATCTAGATTTCTTTAGAAGGGCACTTACCTGTATACCTACATTTTTCAGGGAGTCTCTGTCTCGATGTTACCTATTTACAGACGGGTCCATTAGAAGCTCCCATTGCTTGACATCTCTTTAGAGCCTGGCTGCTCCTCACTGGGAGAGCAGGGAGGGCTACCAGGAAAGAGCATCCCTGGACTGGGGGGAGAGCCCTGTGAGGCTGGGAGCAGTGGGTGATGGAGCTGGGGTGACTTCTCTGCCCAGGAAGAAGGTGTGCAACGGGCCCGGGAGGAGGAGGAGAAACGCAAGGAAGTGACCTCGCACTTCCAGGTGACACTGAATGACATCCAGCTGCAGATGGAACAGCACAATGAGCGCAATTCCAAGCTACGCCAGGAGAACGTGGAGCTGGCTGAAAGGCTCAAGAAGCTGATCGAGCAGTATGAGCTGCGGGAGGAGGTGAGGGGCTGCCAGGGGACTGAGGAGTCTGGGTGGGTGCCAGCACCAGGCAGCACTTCCCAGGCTTCATGCCTTCACCCGTTCCCCCTTCTTACCTCAGGAGGGATCTAGATAAGGAACTGAGGTGATGAGAGGAATCTTGCTTGTGACCAACAACTGGATCCACAGTGCCCTGTCCTAAACTGTAGGGCCAGGTGTCTTTTGGAATAAAACTGTCCATGTTCTAGACTGGAGTTATATTCATGGATCATGTATTTTGTCGCACCCCAGCACGGTTTGTGGCAGCACCCCAGATCGGACACGTTAATGCTTATGTAGTTAAACTTGTGAGTATTCTCACCTAGGTTTATAATTAGCCCTACAGTGATATGGGTCAAATTTTTCTGCCCACTTAAGACAATTTCAGTTTTCAGAGTATTTTAGAATTTAGAATTACAGGGTGGGAGCTGGAACTGTGTTCAGTGATTGACTCTAGGGGCTGTGCCCTCCAGTTACTTGCTGTTTTGCTGCCCCTGCCACCTGAAAGGGCAGGACGTCACTCCCTTGATGGGTGTTGACTGCTGTCCCAGGCACTCAAGTCCCTCTCTTTGGGTCCCTGCACACTGTCAGTTGGCCCTTCTGGGCCAAGTGAAGGGCCCTCTTCCTCTTCCCTCTCCTTTCCCCCTGGTACTCCCACTTACTAGGGAGTTGGGCTACAAAAGTGTGGGTTCTCTGTCCAGTGGAATAATGAGGCTGAAGGTTTGAGTGTATCTGTTACTTGGCTTCCTGGGAGGTGATCTCATCCCTGTGTTAATGCCAGACTGACTCAGTGGGAAAGAAACAAGGTGAGGTTGGGAAGTAGACCTTCCAGGTACTTGGGGCCACAACCTATGGGACATGAGGGAGTCCAGCATGTCATACTGACGTGGGAGACTGGGCAGTGCCCTGGTCTCTGCATGTGGAGCATCCTGTAGCTATTGGGCATCCCCAAGAAAAGCTCCTAACAGATGGAAACCACACACCCACCCCCGACAATGCTTTCCTGCAGCACATTGACAAAGTCTTCAAACACAAGGACCTGCAGCAGCAGCTGGTGGACGCCAAGCTCCAGCAGGCCCAGGAGATGCTGAAGGAGGCCGAGGAGAGGCACCAGCGGGAGAAGGATTTTGTGAGGCTCAGGCCCCGGGGGTGGGGGTTCTGGGTGGAAGGTGGGTCGGGTTCTGGCTCAACTCACAGTGAAGTGTGCCCGGGAGAGGTGGTTGTCTGGTTAGGCCAGGGCACTGCTAGCTCAGAAACCATCTGAGAGCAGGAAGCCTTGGGGGGTCATGGTGCATATGGCTAAACAGTCCAGATGCAGCCTCTAGGGGCTTCTGATGGAATCTGGGGTCCTGTTTTGGAAATAGCTCCTCAAAGAGGCTGTGGAGTCCCAGAGGATGTGTGAGCTGATGAAGCAGCAGGAGACCCACCTGAAACAGCAGGTAAGACTACAGTCTCCCCCTGTGCCTCCATGGTCCCCAAGCTGAGCCCCATCCTGGGGGAGGGAAATGGAACCCTCATTCTAGGCCCACCTTGATTCCTGTGTGACCTCCCAAGCTTTTGTTCTCTCAATCTGGCTGGCACCTATGTGGTGGTGGCCAGGGTGGGTAGGCAAGCTAGAAGGACTTGTTGTAGGTCCAAAGTGTTGTGTTCCTTTTGAGGAGGTGGAGACAGAACAGGTGATTTCAATTATGTAAATTAGACTTCATTCTGGAAGAAAAGTTTGAAAAGGAACATTACAGGAAATAATATAAATCACCCCAGTCCTACTTTTTATGCTTAACATTTTAGATTATATCCTTCCAAATATATGGTTTTTGTCTTGTTTTAAGGAAAACTGGTATCTCAACAGAATTGTTGGGTCAGAGGGCTAAGGGTGGGTCTGAGCTGGTTGACCAGAAGTGCCCTCCAGAAAAGCCCAGTCTTACTTGTGGGCTTCTCTCTCACCCAGCTTGCCCTGTACACTGAGAAGTTTGAGGAGTTCCAGAACACTCTTTCCAAAAGCAGTGAGGTCTTCACCACATTCAAACAGGAGATGGAAAAGGTGACTGTGGTCCAGATTGGGGGTGACTGTGGGGGTGCAAGCGGCTTCATTCTGAATTGAACACTAGGCCTGCCTTCAGGAAGCCCCATCCCTGGAGTGCTTCATGTGGTGCTCTTTACAGTAATATGTGACTGATACCATGGGTGGGTAAGAGTGGGCCATATTTACCTGGATACACCCTGGGGTGGCTCAGAAAGCACTGATCTCGCCCCCTTGGGATGGTTTCCCAACTTGGAGACAAAGATGTAGAGATCGCCTGACCCCCTGACCATTTCCTTCTATGTGTCACATCACCCAGATGACTAAGAAGATCAAGAAGCTGGAAAAAGAAACCACCATGTACCGGTCCCGGTGGGAAAGCAGCAACAAGGCCCTGCTGGAGATGGCCGAGGAGGTGGGCTGAGTGTGGGGTGCAGCCGGGCTGGTGGGTGGGAAATTCTTGGCCCTTTTCTGTACTTTCTACCGAGAAGGATACAGTGAGCCCCAAGTGGAGCTGGGATTCACACACATGTCTGTCCAAGTCCAGTCGCACCAGCTGTCTCCTCAAGGGAGGTAGTGAGCTTAGTGATAGGTCTGTAGTGGAAGCAAAGAGAGCAAATGGAAGAAAGGAGGAAACAGCAGAAAAAGCTAGGGGTGCCGATGTGTGTGCAGCTGCCATGCAGAGCCATGCAGATAATTTGATTTTGTGGCTTGAGGTGAAGGAGGAGAAAGTAATTGATGGAGAGGCTGCTGTGTGCCAGACCCTGCTGAGTGTGTGGATGCGCCAGCTCATTGAGCTCTCTCAAGATCTATGAGGTGATGTTAGTAGTCCAGGCTAACTGATAAGGCAACAGACTCAAAAGCCAAGCACTTCCTAAGGCCATATGGTGAATAAACAGAGGAATCCATCACCTCCAAGCCATGCCCCTTCTCTATACCACACCTGTCTCCAGCTGGCAGCCATGTCTCAGCATACACCAGGACTGTTTACTCAAAAGGGGCCAGCTTTTGACTCTGACCAGTGCCCAGCGTTGTTAAAATGTGAATGGTGAATGTTTTCTACCAAGTGGCAGTGGTGGCTGGGTGGTTGATGACATGGAACTGAAGGCCCCATTTCTCTCCCTAGAAAACACTCCGGGACAAAGAGCTGGAGGGCCTGCAGGTGAAAATCCAGCGGCTGGAGAAGCTGTGCCGAGCGCTGCAGTCAGAGCGCAATGACCTGAACAAGAGGGTGCAGGACCTGAGTGCTGGAGGCCAGGCTCCCCTCACTGACAGTGGCCCTGAGCGAAGGGCAGAGGCTGCCAATGCCTCTAAGGAACAGGGTGCCGAGGGGCCCAGGGTTCCAACTCCGAGCTCCCCAAGGGCCACGGAAGCTCCTTGCTGCCCTGGAGCACTGAGCACAGACCCTTCAGGCCAAACGGGGCCCCAGGAACCCACCTCCATCACTGCCTAGGGTGCCCATGCCAGGGGGCGCTCTGGGAAGGGAGCGAGCCACTCAGCCAGGCCCGGCCTGTGCGAGGCTCCCACCGCTGAGGCCCAGGGTGCTCTGACCTGGCTGACATCTGACTCTTTGCAGTTTTGGATTTTATGGGTCAGTTCTGCATACATACGGCATATGTGCAAGGCCTCATACATTTATATATCTGTAAGTGTAAAATGGGCTTGCATCATAGGTGGGGGTGTGTACACATCAAGTCAGTGGCTCTTCTGTGAGCTGAAGCGTCTTAAAGGGGAGCTGCCGTCACAGTAAGCTGGCAGGACAAGTGTCTCGAGCTTTTCCCTGCCTGATGTGAGGCTCACCCTTCCCTCCCTGCCCTTCAGAGCTCGTGACAGGTGACACGCCCAGCCCACGACTGTGTCTCTCCTGTTAGCGGGACTTGGGCAGCTCCAGCTCTCCTAGCTCCCCTGGAAGCTCCTTTGCTTCCCTTGACCTGGAAAAGGAGTCTCCAGGCAGAGCGTTGACAGAGCACTTGGAGCTGGTGATCGGACTGCTTCCCTGCCTAGGACAAGGGACCTGGAGCATGTTCTGTGCAGGGTGATGTGCTGGTAGGGAGCCCCTCAGGTGCCGCTTCCAATGATGCTTCGCAGTAGCCTTATCGTTCACAGGTGCCTCTCTAGCCTGCACAAATGATGGACCAGAGATCACCCAAAGGATTCTTTCTGAAGGTTTGGGTTTGTTTCCTGTTTGTTTTGCACGTGACAGTGTTCGGGTTAAGGCTCTTCTGAGGAGGAAGGGGCGCTGTAGCAGTGGTGCCTGGGCTCCTGGCCTCTAGCGCCCCACCCCCCTCAGCACCCTGCCTGGCACCTTTGCCACATTGGTGCTTCGGATTCCTGCTTGATGAAGTCAGATTATTTATAGTAAGAGAAAGGAAAGGGTCCCCATGGCTTTGCCGCAAGCTTACCTGTGGCTTCAGTCCTGGGTGGCCACTGCTGATGCCATCACCACTGTCCACGCAGCAGATGCTGGGCCCCGGGTCCAACCGTCCCCTTGGCTTGATGAGTCTGCTTCATATATCCATGCCCACAATGTGCGTTCTTTTTTGAGATTTGCCCTGATTTTGTTACGTAATAAGAGCTGAGATATGCCCTCCTTGACAGCCTATTTGTTCCTGTGTGAGAGCCCCCAGGTCTTGTCCAACGGCTAATGGATAAGAATGAGACTCAGCCATTGACTGAGCCCCAGAAGTCTGCAGAATGGCTACAGATAGTTGTGTCTGTTTCTTCTCTACCCCAACTCCCACCCCTCACACATGCTACTCTGTACTCTGAAAGACCTACTGTTTGCAAACTTGCCAGAGCATTAGCCAGTCTTTGTACAAAACACTTCTGGGACAGCAGAATGTATGAGTCTTGCATCAGGAAGCAGGGCTGCGCTGGGTTTGGGGGTGCCATAATCCCATCTCCAGCTGGGCATCAGCTTCAGTTTAGCTGCGGAAGCCATAGACCAAGATGGATTGAGTGGATGAGTTTTTGCTTCTTGTATTTCCCTGAAGTTAGTTCGTTGTCTTATAGCTCCCTTCATCTTCCACAAATAGCCCACTCTTAACAGTTCTTAAATCCCTCAGGTGACAAGGTTCATAAAGAGTGTGAAGCACTCCTGAATCATGTTAGGACTTAGACCAGAGATGGCAAATGAATGACACACCGTTTCCCCTCTTCATCCAGGGTGGTACCACTAATCTGCTTCTGAGTATTTCCTGCTACATTCCTGGTATACCCTCATTTCTCTAGATTCCCCCAACAGCCAGTGTGAGTGATGAGACCTATTTGCCATCCCTGGCTGAGATCCTGCTCTGCTGAGGAACAGAAGAGCTGCCAACGGGGTTTGCTGGGCTGAGGAAGCGCGGGAAGAGGCAGAAGTTTCTGCCTGCCCCCTTCACAGAGCAGGGAGGCCTGCAGTGGCCCACAGGATCACCTGCCCCATTTCAGCTACCTCTTAAAGCCTATAGTGCTGGCCAGGTGGGGACTGCCAGAGCCCAGTATGGTGTGGCAAGGTACAGTCCTCAGAAGCCAAGTCTAGCTGCTTGGTGAGCAAGGTGGCCCCAGCCATGCAGGGTAGAAGCTCTGCTCAGCTCAGCCCTCTGTCTGTAGCCATCCAGGCCAGGCTGTAGGTGGGGTCCCATTCTCCTCTCCGTTGACCAAATCTTTTCAGTCACTACAGCTGCTCTGCTTGCTCTGCTTTCCAAAGTCAGCCCAGGTTCCTGGGTGCTGCCCACACCAGCCAGGGTCCTGGGCCAGATGACGAGGTGGCATATCCACAAATGAAGGCCAGTTCCTTCCTCAGTGGGGCAGGTCTCATGCCCATGACCTCAGTTTTTGGACCAAGAGCTGTGTTGGTTTCTTAGATTGCTAGCTTTTCCTCCAGGGGACCACCGCAGGTGAGGCTCTGCTAACAGTAACTTGTGTTCAGGGTCTTGTCCAGCTGAGCTTCGTGTACACCAGATTCTGAGAGGTGGCAGCAGCACTTTTTTAAAAATTTGTCTTCTGTGAGGTTTTTGGACCATGGGCTGCGCTCAGGCACTTTCTATGAGAGAATGTTACGTCTGTAAACAATGGTTACCCGCCCCCCCCCCCAGCCCCCACCCTGGTGTCTGCTGCCGGGGGGTTCCCAGGCCTGCTGAGGTGGTTCTCCTGCTGCTGCTCCAGCCCTCCCACCTTGCACAGCACAGAGGAGGTCACCCTAGGGACAGCCAGGCACGTGCCTGGGGGAGGGGTGCTGCCTTTTGTCCCTGTAACTGCTTCCCTTATGGCCCAGCCTGGCCGTCCAGATTTGTTTGAAGCTGTGCTGACAGCTTTTTTGTCTCCTTTTGGTATTCACAACAGCCAGGGACTTGATGTATTTTAAAACCACATTAAATAAAGAGTCTGTTGCCTTACTTTTTCTCCTCCAAACTTTGTGGTCCTTTGCTACTTCTGGATCCATCCAACCATCACTGATGTATCCAGATCTGTGACATCTCTGGTTCTGCCCTGGTATCGCGCACCTTCCAGAGTGCCCTCCTGCCTTCCAACAGTCACTGCAGGCTTAGGACACTAGCAGATTCACTTCAACTGCCTGAGCAGAGCCCTTCGCAAAGTTGGCATGATGCTCATCAGATATATATGATTTTTTTCCCATCAAAACTTGTCCCTGGCCTCTGAGAGTTCATGGGCTAGTGAGGGGGAAATGTGCTTTTAGATACAAGAAAGTTGGTTGTGCTCTGGGAGCAGAGAAGAGGTCCTGTTCCCTTCACCAAGGGGATAGAGTTGGATCCTAGAATAGCCTTAGGACCCAAAAGGCAAGTGGAAGTTTGACATTTAGTGAGGAAGTGGTTGATTAGGCAAAGCAGGTGCACTGGAGGGTAGTGGGAGGAAATGAGACCAGCCAAACCACCATGAGCCTCTGTGCCAGGTTAAGGAATCTGGGCTAGATCGAGAGAGAAGGAACCACTGAAGTTGCTTAAATACGAAATCAGTCAAGTCTATGAGGAAGGTGCAAAGCGGGGAGAGTAGAGTTTGGCATAGGCCAACTAGTGGGGGCCCAAATTAAGATGAGTCGATGCTGTCACCATCGCCACTGGGGCTGTCCACCATGGGTTGTATCTCTGACACTGGCCCACCCAAGAGAATACACAGGAACCTCCATGTCGCTTTAACTTCATGCATTCCATTCCAAGACCAGAAGTTGCACTTAGTGCTTATGGATGGGTGTGTTTCTTACTCCTGTTCACCCACCCCAAGGTGAGGTGTAAAAGTTGAGACTCCTATAAGAGAGACATCCTACTTGAACCTCACCCAGCATCCTGTTCTCTCCACCTGGGCTGGTCTGGCCCAAAGGATTACATACGAATACCTGCCACATGGTGGAGACAAGTGTCCTTCCCTCCAAGCTTCCACAGGCTTATATGTCCACACTGATTGTTGAAGTCTTAATGTCTTCCCTTCTGGGTCAGTCTAAATGTTAGAAGCACCTGGGAAAGAGCCCTGATGAGGTGCATTTGGAAAGGGTGACCACCCCTCTGGAATTCAGTGAGGCCCAGGCCCGAGAGAGATGCTCCTGCTCTGTGTGTGTGTAGGGGGTGGGGGGCAGGGAGGTGCGGTGGTGGTGTGCTGGCCCTGGGGCAGTTATCTGAGACTGCAGGGCAGCCTCCTGTTGCATCAGATGCTTCTTAGGGGACCTGAGCTGGGAGCCTCTGACTGGTCTTTTAATAGCTGCCCCATTGATCTGGCCTCCTGGGGCAGGACCAGCAGCGCTGGCTCAGCCTTCATCAGACACTCAGGTTTCCCTCCTGGGGGCTGGTGTCAAGCGCTGGGTAATCGCACTGGTTTTGCTCTGACCTGATGCTCCCCACACGTTTCCCCTAGGCCTGGGGGTAGGGAGAGGGTAGGCTTGGCCTTGTCATTTCATGAATGGCTGAATACACCCCCATCACCTACCAGAAAGGGTGCTCTGGAGGGAGTGGTATTATCCTCGATATTGTTGACTTTTAGTAAAATGGGACAATGACTGCCTTCCTTCAGGATTGTTACAAGGATACATAAAATGCATAATAGGGGACCTGGACTCACTTGAAAGATGGTTATCTTCTCTTGCAGTTTCTTTCTGCTGCTGCTTTTTGTGTTTCATATTTGTTGTTGTTGTCGTTCAGTTATTCAGTTGTGTCCAACTCTTTTTGACCCCATGAACTGCAGCACGCCAGGCAACCCTGTCCTTCACCAGCTCCCAGAGCTTGCTCAAACTCATGTCCATTGAGTCGGTGATGCCATCCAACCATCTCATCCTCTGTCATCCCCTTCCCCTCCTACCTTCAATCTTTCCTAGCATCAGGATCTTTTCCAATGAGTCAGTTCTTCCCATCAGGTGGCCAAAGTATTGGAACTTCAGCTTCAGCATCAGTCCTTCCAATGAATACTCAGGATTGATTTCCTTTAGGATTGACAGGTTTCTCCTTGCAGTCCAAGGGATTCTCAAAAGTCTTCTGTAACACATTCAAAAACATCAGTTCTTCAACACTCAGCCTTCTTTATAGTTCAACTGTCACATCCATACATGACTATTGGAAAAACCATAGCTTTGACTAGACCTTTATCGGCAAAGTACTATCTCTGCTTTTTAATATGCCTTCTAGATTTGTCATAGCTTTTCTTCCAAGGAGCAAGTGTCTTTTAATTTCATGGCTGAAGTCACCATCTGCAGTGATTTTGGAGCCCAAGAAAATAAAGTCTGTCACTGTTTCCATTTCCATTGTTTCCCCATCTATCTGTGATGAAGTGATGGGACTGGATGCCATGATCTTGGTTTTTTGGATGTTGAGTCTTAAACCAGCTTTTTCACTCTCACTCTTTCACCTTCATCAAGAGGCACCTTAGTTCCTCTTCGCTTTCTGCCATTAGGGTGGTGTCACCTGCATATCTGAAGTTATTGATATTTCTCCCCCTGGCAATCTTGATTACAGCTTGTGTTTCATCCAGTCCGGCATTTTGCATGATGTACTCTGCATATAAGTTAAATAAGCAGGGTGACAATATACAGCCTTGACATACTCCTTTCCCAATTTGGAACCAGTCCATTGTTCCATGTCCAGTTCTAACTGTTGCTTCTTGACCTGCATACAGGTTTCTAAGGAGAGAGGTAAGGTGGTCTGGTATTCCCATCTCTTTAAGAATTTTCCAGTTTGTTGTGATCCACACAGTCAAAGGCTTTGGCATAGTCAATGAAGCACAAGTAGATGTTTTTCTGAAACTCTTTTGTGTTTTTCTATGATCCAATGGTTGTTGGCAATTTGATCTCTTGTTCCTCTGCCTTTTTGTAAATCCAGCTTGAATATCTAAAAGCTCTGGGTTCACATACTGCTGAAACCTAGCTTGGAGAATTTTGAGCATTACTTTGATAGCGTATGAGATGCGTTCAATTGTGCAATAGTTTGAACATTCTTTGGCATTGCCTTTCTTTGGGATTGGAATGAAAACTGACCTTTTCCAGTCCTGTGGTCACTGATGAGTTTTCCAAATTTGCTGGCATATTGAGTGCAGCACTTTAACAGCATCATCTTTTATGTATTTTATATAAATATATATACACACATTCATTCATTCTCTCCCAGCTCCCCACCTCCTTCTCTCCTCCATTTCTGACAAAGCTTCCACCATTTTGCAAAGGACTGTAGCTTCTCTCTTAAACTGATATTCAGTGAAAAGGTTTTTTGGATTGTCCTCGCATAACCAATATCATCACCTTAATTCAAAAGGAGACGTGAAGTTCAATGAAAGGGACAACTTAATAAATGTGGAGATGCTCCTCCCATCTCACTCCATCCCACTCTTTAAAAGGTCAGTTTCTCTTTAAATGCAAATTACCTACTGCGAGCTCAGCATCCACCCATTCCGTTCCCAAGTTGGAGAGTACTGAGGGCGGAGGGAACCGGCACGGAAGCATCACTCCAGACCCTAAATCTTCAGGTTAGTTTCCCCCTTGGGGGTGGGGTGCAGAGGCGGAATGACGCTGGTCTCTCGCTCCATTTCGGATCCTGGCTCCCGAGCTGAGAGATCCATTTGGCACGCGGGTTTAGAGACTGATTGTGGAAAATAGATCCCAGGTCGCCACCACGCTTTCCTGGGGAGCTGGGGCTCCCGCTGTAATTCTTCTCTCGCGTCTCTAATTGGACTGAGCTGCTGCTGGGCCAGGCATTTGACGCGCTTGTTCCCCCAGCACCACACCCCCTCAGTGCCAGCCGGCTTCGTGCCAATTTAAATGCTTATGCCCCAGGCGCCACCCCAGAGTGCGGAGTCGGGCTTGGTGTTGGAAGCTAGGAGTAAGCAGCTTGGGGAAACCCCGTAAAGGGCCTCCAGACCTCAGGCAGAGGCACCTCCGTGGACCTGGAGCCGAGGGGGCGGGCCGAGAGGGAGGCCCAGCGGTGCGAGCATCGGCGCAGCCTTTGTTGGAGGCCTAGGCTGCCGGCTGCCCTGCCAGACCACCCGGCCCTCTCTGACTACAGCTGCAGCCTAGAGGGGACTTCCCGACTGGGGAGGGTGAAGCAGCTGGAAGTCTGTCCCAAGGAACTAATGGGAGTCTCCTGGTGTTTACCGTTGGGGGTGGAGTGGAAGAGAAAGGATGCTAGTGTCCAAGTGCGGGGACTGAGCCCTGCCAGCTCAACCATTGATGCCCATCCTCTAGGGGTCCGACATGGGGTCTTCCCAGGTGATCCCATGCACGTCTTGATCCCCTTGAGGTTTGTCAGGGACTGTCCAGGCAGTTGATAAATAGAACCGGAGTCTAATTAAGACACCCCTAATCCCCAGCTGGGCTCCTGCCAGCTCACATCCACCCTGACTCCCCCTACATTTCCTCTGCCAGCTCCACCCCCTCAGCTACAGGGACAGGAAACCCCGGGAGCAGCTGCAGCCCAAGAATAGTGTCTGATCCAGTCCTTTCAGGCAGGACCTAGGTTTTCAGGCTACAACTAAAGGGCAGAGGAGACCTGGACTGGGCCACAGGTCTTTGGAATACACATCTGTGATCTCAGCAGTAGGTGCCAGCACCCGGCCTTCCCCTACTGGAGTGATGAGGGGACAGTTTGAAGGTCCTGGGGCGTCCTTTGCAATTCTCAGGGATAGCTGGGTGGAGGGATGGCTTTGCCCACACCATCTCAGTGGGTGCCTCCCTCCCAGGGCCTGAGGCCTAGCCAGCATCCAATGGAGGACAAGAAGAAGAAAAGGAGTCCCAAGCCCTGTTTGACCCAGCCAGCCCAGCCCCCAGGCACACTACGCAGGGTCCCAGTGCCCACCAGCCACAGTGGCTCCTTGGCCCTGGGACTCCCTCATCTGCCATCCCCCAAACAGCGGACCAAGTTCAAGAGGTAGGTACGGATGGGAAGCAGGGCAAGGAGGGAGGGACCCTAACTCTGGCCTGAGCCCTGTGGGCAGCAAGGTAAAGGGGGGCTTAGCCTATAATTACTAAGTAGGAATCCATGCCTTCCCTGGGGCTCCCCCTCCCTCCACTGGCCCCTGAGATTTCAGACCCAGTCCCTACTTTCAGGTGTGTTAGGGAAAGACCCGGTGGGTCACAGGGATCACCCAGTGTGAAGATGCACCTTAGAGCAGGGAGTGAGCAAACTTCTAGGAAGTGAATCAGAGAAGGCTGTTGGGCACACTGGAGACAGAGACTGTTCTAAGCTGAGGGGCCTGGCTAGCAGAAGTATAGCAGAAAAATATTGCCTGCAAGGTTCCAGGAATCATAAGTGGTTTGGTGGTCCCGGAGTGTCATGGGGCAGGAAATGGTGAGGGGATACTCAAGTAAACAATTTGAGTTCTCCACTTGTTTTAATGATTGAGAACTTGCCTCCTACCCTGTAATGTGTCTACCCTATAGCGTTTCCACTAAACACATATTCTTCCTCTAATTACTATGTTTCCCTGTGCCTTTGGTACCACCTGCCTGGGAGGCATGTTTGGAGACAGCCAAGTGAGTGTAGCTGAAGCTCAGGGCTGGGACAGGAATAGTAGGAAATGCAGTTAGAGAGGTATGGAGGCCAAGCTGGGAAGGTCGTTCAATGTTCTCCTGTGGGCAATGGAAAATTCAAAAAATGGTTTTTATATAGAAGAGGGGCAGAAAGATGTTTTTGGAAGTGGTAAAATGGCTCACTTGGCAATAAGGAAGTAACTGTCCCCAAATTCACTGAGGACCAGTGAGGACAAGCGATCACAGGAGGAATGAGTGAGGGGTCAGACAGGAACCCAAGAGTCCTGCTCCAGGCGTGGTTCTGGCTGTACCACTGGAAGAAAATGACTTCTTTTGATCTCTCACCCTCACCCCTCTTCATCCACTCACTTCCCTTAATGCATCCTAGTGCCCCAGACAGGGTCAGAAGAACAAACATCCACTTATGTCGATGGGTGGGGATAGAAAGATGAATTAGGGCATAGACAGATGGCACAAAAGACCTGGGGGTACCTGGCTCCCCCCACGCTGTGACCATGGCCATGCCACTCACCCAGGGTAGGCAAGGAGAAGTGCCGCCCCGTGCTGGCAGGAGGTGCAGGCGGCTCTGCAGGCACCCCCCTGCAGCACTCTTTCCTGACTGAGGTGACCGACGTCTATGAAATGGAAGGGGGGCTGCTGAACCTGCTCAATGACTTCCACTCAGGCCGGCTGCAGGCCTTCGGTGAGTCCTGGGGGTGGGGTCGGAGGGCTGGGTCTCTGGGGGCGAGGCTGGGACCGCAGTCCCAAGCTGGCTCCCGGAGCTGACAGGCGCTGTCCAGGGAAGGAATGCTCCTTTGAGCAGTTGGAGCACGTGCGGGAGATGCAGGAGAAGCTGGCCCGGCTGCACTTCAGCCTAGACGTGTGTGGAGAGGAGGAAGAGGAGGAGGAGGAAGAGGACGGGGTGACTGGCGGGCTACCTGAGGAGCAGAAAAAGACGATGGCTGACCGCAACCTGGACCAGCTGCTTAGCAATGTGGGTCAGGCTGCGGGCTTTGGTTCCTGAGGGCACCCGGGGGTGGGAGGGTACATGCTGCCAAGACCATTCCTGGCCCCTAGGTGAAAAACTGGGGGTGCACGGAGGCAAAAGCTCTGGGCCTCTCAACACCCACCAGAAGATGAGCCCCAGAACATGCCAGAGTTTGGCCTGGTGCCCCTCCTTACAGAAATCCCCCTTTCTCTTTCTGTTGACAGCTGGAAGATCTTAGTAATTCTATGTATCCTTTCTAGGGGACTTGACAGTGGGTGTCTTCCCCTCCCAGATATAAAATCAGCTTTTGCCTCCCCACCACCCTGCAGGAATATTTACAGATAATCAACATCCTCACCTCTTTCACTCCTACAGAATTAGCCACAAACTCCCCCTACCCTGGTAGAGGGTGCAGAAAGAATTCCCCAAATGTTAGGTGAAAGAACAGTGGTTGCAGGGAATATGTTCTACCTACTTATCAAAATATTTGTAGGCACTTTAGCTGACACCAATCTATGACAAATCTTGTCTGATGTCTCCCTATTCTTTCAGCACTGAACGATTATTTTTACTGATCAGACTGTCTCACATCTAGTCCTAACAGAAGTAGTGCACACACATGATCTAAACCAAAAGCGAAGGGGGTAAGGCCTGGCAAGAGGGGCCAGCAAGGGTTGCAGTCCTAAACCACGGACCACCCCAGTGTCCCTGTCCCCCGCCCATTTGCGCAGTTGCGGAAACCAAGCCTGTGCAGGCTGGGACAATAGGGCTGGAAGGACCTGGGGTCCAGAGCATCACAGTCCTTGACCCGCACAGACAGAAGCTGCACCTGGCCGAGAACGCCGAGCCTGAGGAGCCGTCAGCTGTGTAGGTGTAAGACCCAGGCCTTGACTGTCCCTTCTCATTTCCTTCAAACTGTGACTTTTTTACGGACTCGAGTGGATGTTTCGCGGCCCCCCCAGGTGCTATGGGAGAGGGGGGCACTGAATGGAATTAAACCAGAAGGAAAGAAAGCGGTCTGTGTCTTCTCTCGTTGCTCCTTTTACTCGGCAGAGGGACTCCCCTGCGCAACACACCTGGTTTGGGATGTCGCGCTCGGGCGGTTGGATTCCCCGGAGCTGCTCGGGGTATATGGGAACAGCGCCGGCTCGCGCCGGGTCTTGACTGTAGCCCAAAGAGGGCCACGGAGACAGCGGGGCGGGGCCTGAGCCCATTGGCCCGCGGCGCAGGCCGGTGACGCACTGCGCAGGCGCCAGGCGGGTCAGTTTGCGCCCGGATGGAGCGGGAGCTGTTGGTTCGGAAGGTGACGGCGCTGCAGGTGCGGGTCGGGCGGCTTGCCTAGTGATTTCGCCCCACGGGTTCTCGGACTGGGTGGGACCTTTGGACCAGATGAGGCTCTCACGTCTAGTAACCTGCCCGCGTGCCCACGTCCGAAGCTACCGACCCACCCCACCGGCCTGAAGAATGTGGGGACCCTAGGGATCCTCACGCGTCCGCCCCCTCCCCCACCCCGCACCGCCACCACAAACAATTACGGGATCAGGGAGAGGGTGGGAAGGGCCTTCAGTCTAAGAACTGTGCTGGATCCAATCCAGCACACTCCCTCGAACCCCCGGAGCCCCAACGCACAGCGTCACCTGCCCTTTCCCCGAGCCCGGTCTCCTATTGCAGTCACGCGGATGACCTCTCCAGGAGCGTTCCCCAAGATATCCCCATGTTGCAGTGATAAGGGTTTTCTCTCCCCTCGTTCTCCACACCAGGCCTGCATCCGGGGCTTCTTGGTCCGACGCCGGTTCCAGAGTCTTCGAGGTGAATATGAGGCTATTGTACGAGAGATCGAGGGTGATCTGGGCACGCTTCAGTGGACTGAGGGCTGGATTCCCAGGCCCCGATTTCTCCCAAAGGTACTACACACCCTAGAGGTAAAAAATAAAGAGGGACCTGGGCAAGGGGATTCCACCTTAGCTGACAAGCTTTTCTCAATGGAAAAGGGAGCAGACTCACCTCCTCACACCCCAATCCTTAGTCCTCATCAATTGGTATGCTAAATCAGAATGTCCAGATCCTTGGAGGGTTTAGCCTCAGGGCTCTCACCCCTTTGATTTCTCAGAAGGCAAAATCCCATCAGACCTGGAAAGCCGGCGGAGAGAGGGTACCAAATCCAGAGCAGGAACTATGGAGCCACTTCCCATGTAAAGAGACTGAGAAAGAGACCATCTGGGAGGAGGTGATACTGAAGAAGTCAGGAGAGAGCTTCACAAACTCCAGCAGTCTTCCCTGCAGAGATGCCAGCGCCTGGCTTCAGGATGAGCAGAGCAGGAGGACCAGGAAACCGAGCCAAGAGACCAGAGATGTGTCAAGGATGGAAAACCCAGGTATACCTCTACCTAGATCAGGGCAAGCCTCTGCCCTCTGGGCCCTAAGCGTTCCCATCTGAAAAGTGAAAGGCTTGCTGCATCCCTTTCTTCCCTCCTTCTGGTTGGGGGCTACTTATGGGTGGGTAGGGGGAAGGTGCCAGGCCCTAAGGGCTAAGCCAGTGTGCAGTGTCTGTTCCCTCAAGGCTTTCTCCCTTCATTCTCCTTCACAGAAGCTGCAGGTCCAGGATTGTCCCACAGCCAGACTGAGCTCCAGGAGCTCCAGAACCAGCGCAGCCACTTGGCCATGGAGCTGCTGTGGCTACAACAGGCCATCAATAGCCGCAAGGAGGTAGGCACTAATTTGGAGCCTTTTTTGCACATTTAGGTTCAAGGGTGGGGGTTAGGGAAATGCCTTCTGCCAGGCCCAGGCAGACCTGCCTGGTACAGTGTCTGTTCTTTTCTCGAACAGTACCTAGTTCTCAAACAAACACTGAGATCCCCAGAAGTGGACCAGAACAGACATGAGCCCAGCTTGTGCCAAGATCATGGGGAACATAGCTGTGAAAAAGCTGGATTACAACCAGGCCCACCACTGGAAGACCAGTCCTACAGAGGCAGGACCCCTGGAGAGCCAGGCCATGTGAATGACTCCTGCTGGAAACTCAGATCACAACCCCACAAATTCCCAGAAAGACTGGCCACTCCAGATAAAACCACTGCTGGGGCCAAGTACAGGGACCCATGCTACAGACGGCCTGGACCACAGCTGCCCACACCACCGGAATGCCAGGCCACAGGGAAGAGGCTCACCAAAGAGCCGGACTGTGGAGAAGAGATCTCTGGAGAGGCCTGCCTGCAGCTGACACTTCTAGAGGATGAAAGCCACAAAGAGCTCAAATCTAAGGGCTCCTGTCCTGGAAAGGCCAGGACACAGCTGCCCACACCCCGTGAGGACCCAAACATTGAAGACAGCTCTCCCAGGGGGCCATGCCAAAAAGAGGCTGATTGGCAAAGAGCTGTGCCACGAGAGTTGGGCATCTCAGAGGACCATGTCACCTGGGATGGGTCTTTGGCAGAGCATGGTGGCCTGGATCTCTGGAAGAATAAACCACCCAAGGGCCAGACCCCCAGTGATAAAAGCTCCATAGATAGACCCTCCAGTGAATCTAGCCATGAAGGATGGCAAAACCAGAGGACTATACCATGGAGATCGAGGCCACCTGAGAAACTGTCCACAGGAAAGGATCACTGGAGGGGCAGGCAGTGGAAAACAGGACCAGCAGGCTAGACCCTGGGGAACCAGGGAGGACCAGGTTCCAAAGGGGGATGCTGTGAAAGGGCAGTGAGGGAGACAGACCTCATCGTAGCTCCCTGGTCCCAGTTGTACCTCCTGCCCCTGCCCCTGCCCCTGGGTATTGGTGGCTAATGAGGCCAAGAGAAGCCGGAGCACAGAGCTGGCACCAGTAGAGGGAGAAGGTGGGAGGCTACTTCCATCCTCTGCTGGTGGCTCAACCCACATTTTGGAATAGGGAGCCACCTGGGGCGAGGCAAGTTGGAGCATAAAGGTTGAGAATAAATAAAGATGGAGAATAAAGGTTTTCGTTAGATTCTGAGCCTGGTGATATTTATCCTCTGCCCCTGGTCAGGACAAGCTTCTGGGACCTCCTGTTCACTTCCTGCTGACATGGGGCATCCTCTCCAGAGCTGGCCGGGAGCCCCAGCCTAGGAGCATACTAGCATCCTTGGGGAACAGCCCCCCAAAGCTGTTGGACTACAGAGTGGCAGGGAGGCTCTGAGAATCCCTGCCCCAACCTAGTACTGAACATCTGTATTTCAGTGTGATCTCTGCCACTGCCCCTCTCACTGAGCCCCGGCTCTTCCTTCATACCTAATGACCAGACCCACCCTACTCCTGTGAGGCCCCACCAAGAGCAGACTGGATGAGACCCGAATGCAGACAGATGCTCCTATGGAGGCTCTCCCTGCCTTCCTGAGTGAAAGGCAGGACCCACCTCTGACTGGCATTGCTCCCAACCCTGCCCTAGTTGCCTGGCAACAGCTCTGCGTCTCTAGCCAGGGACACACAATGGCCGGTGGCGGTCCAGCAGCTAAGAGGGTAGTGGTGTACCGGAATGGGGACCCCTTCTCCCCAGGCCGCCCGCTGGTGGTGACTCAACGCCGCTTCCCCACCCTGGAGACCTTCCTCTCGGAGGTGACCTCGGCTGTGCAGGCCCCAGTGGCCGTGCGTGCTCTCTACACCCCTTGTCATGGCCACCCTGTCACCGACCTGGCAGACCTGCAGAACGGAGGGCTGTATGTGGCTGCTGGCTTCGAACATTTCCACAGGCTCCCGTGAGTGGGCTGGGGCTGGTCAAAGAGCCTGGGGAGGGAGGTAACAGCAGCAGCAAAGCAGGTGTTCAGTACTGACTATGTAGCTCACTCATGGGACATTAACAGTCCTGTGAGGCAGGTGGTCTTATCCCCATTCTTTGGAAGGGCAAATCAAGATAGTCCTAAGCTGCCTAGGAGTAGACAACACAAGTGGAGCCACAGTTCAAGTCAAGAGTCTGACACGGATGATCATGCCTATCCAGCCAGGACCAACCCATGGCAAGAACAACATTCTCATGCTAGTTGAGCCCCCTTTGCCAAAGGCTCTTCCTGATGGGATCCTTATCACCCCCGTCACCACCACCATCAAATACTCTAAATCCATCCATAGGCATCCTGTGCTCTCCAGTAGGGATCACCCTTTACAGGGTGTGGCTGTGCTTTCCAAGATGGGAGACTAATTTCAGTGTTTGAGCTTCCAAGTCAGATCTGGCCTCCAAGCCTTCCTCCACTCTCAGCGAGCTGAGAGGTTGCTCACTGTAATGTAAGGAGCCAGGAGTTGGGAGCTAGACAGACTTAGAATCTAAGCTTGATCACTTCCATGTTACTTTGGGAGTTCTTGTTCTGTCTCATATAAAATGAGATGAAACCACATACCCTGTGAATGAGAACATTTCTGAGATACAGGAGGATTTTGACCTTTAATTATGTGGTTTGTGCCTGAGACCCCAGACTGGATGTGCAGCTTGATACACACAGGCCTAAGGCAGGTTCAAGTGTCAGCATCTGTTTCTGGACTGAGATGACTTGAGACTGTTTCACTGGGAAGAGAGACCTGGTGAGCTGGGCCCCAGCCCCGCCCCTCTGGCAGCTGCTGGGCTGCTGAGCTCACAGCATCCAAGATGACCTGTGACCTCTCTGTCCTTTCAGCTATTTACCCCCTGGAGGGAAGGATCCAGGTGGGAAGAGCAGCAGATTGGCAGTGAGTCCTGGGGCAGGCCAGCACCCAGCCCTCTGTTCTCCCCCTCCCCTGGGATGGCTCCCGCTTTGGTCTGGGTGGTCAGGGGCCCTGGAAGCAGCAGGATCTGCCGCTCTCCACACCTACTCTGGAGCCAGCTGCTAGCCTTGCCGGGGTGCAGGATTTCAAAATGCTGTTCCCTGCGCCTTTCACAACCTTTTATCTCCAGGCTGTGGTCCTCAAAGGAAACAGGACGCTATAAAACAGAGGGATGGGAGGGGGTTAAGAACGTGACTTAGGGAGGTAGAAGCACCCTGTGGTAAAAAGTGTGATCAGTCCCACCCTCCCTACCCCCTCTTTCACCCCAGTCTGGTTCCTTTCCCTCATCCTACCCACCTTGGACTGACCTACCCCTGACCAAAGACCTCAACGTGCTCCTGATATGGGGACCTGATGGGTTTCAGGGTCCTCCAGTGACTCGGCAGCTGTGTGATGGGGCCCTTGGACGGCAGCTACCTGCAGGTTCCCCCTGCTACATCCAGTGAGTGCCCGTGTTGGGGAGGCAGGGGCATAGAGTTTTGTTTCAGTGAGACCAAGGAAAAGTGGGTGGGTTTGTTCCAGAAGCCCCTGGTGACTGGTGGGGACGGAAAAAGTCCAACATGCTTACTGGGTGAAGAGGGACCCGTGCACTGAGTCTCAGACTGTCTTCTGGCCCCGGTGCCATCCTTCATCCTCTCACAATTAAGGAGTTCTGGAGACCATTCCCCTTACCAGGCTGCTCTTTGTCCCAGTGTGTTCAGGAATGGGGACCTGTCAAGTCCTCCATTCAGCCTGAAGCTGTCCCAGGCCGCCAGCGAGGACTGGGAAGCACTGTTGAAGCTCCTGACGAAGAAGGTGAAATTACAGAGCGGGGCTGTGCACAAGTGAGTCTGGGGACTGCGGAAACCCGAATGTCCCCAGAGGGAGCCGCCCTACTGGTTCTAGCCTTCCTGGAGGATGAAAAGGCCAAGGCCAAAGGAAAGCATGTTTCCCCAACGGGGACTTCTTTCTGTGCCAGAGGGAGAGGCCCTTCTGGCCCAGCCCTTGGAGCCAGGGTGGAGCCTGGGGGACTGGCCCTGGTGCCCGGAGGACCAGCAGCCGCCGGGCACCTTGGAAGAGCTGTACCCACCCCCTCACAGTCTGATGAATATCAAGATCCACCTTGTTCACTGGCCCTTATGTACTCACCTCTCTCCCCCAGGCTCTGCACCCTGGACGGGCTCCCACTGTCAGCAAGGGAGGCTCTGGTGAACGGCCATTACTATGTGGCCGTTGGAGAGGATGAGTTCAAGGCCCTCCCCTATCTGGAGCTGCTGGTGCCCAGTTCCTCACTGCCCGGGGGCTGCTGGTATGTATGTATGAGGGGGAGGGGTGCCAGGTTAGAGCAAAGGAAGCCACCCTGACTCCATGTCCTGCTCTGCCCCCTATAAGCCTTCTCTTTTTTCATTGCAGGCGTCCCCCAGATCCAAAGTCCAAGCCCCACAAGCAGGTGGTAGGTGACCCAGGGGGTTGTGGGGGGCAGGAAAAAAGGAAGTGACTAGCTTCCCTCTGACCTTATTGTACTCTCAATAATTTTGTGAAATAAAGATTGGTATTCCCATTTTCCAGAAGAGAGGCTGAAGTTCAGAGGAGTGAAGTGATTTGTTCAGGGTAACACAGTTACTGACAGCAGCCAGACCAGAACCGGGTCTGAAAGTCAGCTTATCTGGGCTCAACGATGATCTTCGTGACTCTGAGTTGCTGGACCTGATGCCAGATTGGATGCTGGGAAAATCAGCATATCTGGCATGGCAGGATATCAGCTTCCCATCTTATCCCAGGCCTAAGCCCTCCCAAGAGATGAGCCAGTGAGCTGGGGGTTCAGTTCAGTTCAGTCGCTCAGTCATGTCCAACTCTTTGGAAAAGAGTTGGTTAGGATACAAACTGGTTTCACTGAGCATTTAGAATACCAGGCATCATCTACTATGTCCCTGAATAAAGCAGCCTGATGGAAGAGGGAGCAGGGAGGGAAGATGCAGGCTATGAAGATGGACGGCTTCTCCTCTCTCAGGCTCCCAAAGGCATCAGAGGCATTCACACCTGGACTGGGAGTGGAGAAGGTAAGGACAGCCTACAACCATGGCCCACGCTCAGTGTTCCCTCTGCAGGCCCAGGGCCATAGAGCACAGGCAAGCCAGTCCTCTCCAAACGAAGCCAGACAAATCAAGCCATCTGCTTTCTATGCCAGACCCCAACGAGCTATTGAGCCAAGAAGTATGTTCCCCACACTCTCATTTCCATCAGGTGAGGGGATCCCAGAATTCAAGGCCTTCTCAGCCAGCTTCTAACAGTGACATGGGATGGTGCCTGCTGGGGATGACACAGAACGGGTGAGGGAGTCCCATGGTTCGGAGCTGGTCTTGATGTCAACACAACTGTCTCCTACTCCCTCATGTGCATAGCCAGTTCTTTGCCTTTTCATGGGACCTGGCTTATGAAAAGAAACATGTGGAAACTCAAAGATATGACATTTCAGGGGTGGGATTTGGAAGGGTTGGGGATGGGGGCCAAAGGTCTTCCCCTGCACTAACCTCCATCCTCTGTGGTCATGAGCAAGGCTCAGGGGAGGGGAGGGGGCTGATAGAGAAAGTCTGAGGGAAGAATGTTGAGGGCTCCTCAGCCTCGGCGTTGGTCTATTGCCTTCCACATCAGGAACCAAGGGAGTGTATGGGGCTCCCCACCCAAGGAAGGAGATGGCAGGGGCCCAGGAAGTAGCAGATGATGAAGACACCCAGACAGAGAAGCCCTTGGATCAGGTGGGCTGGGGCTGGAAGCCGTGTGTTGGCTTTTGTTTTGCTTGTATGGTTTGTTCTTTGGCTGTACCCTGCAGCACGTAGGATCTTAGTTCCCCAACCAGGGATCAAACCCGCACCCACTGCATTGGAAGCCAGGGAAGTCCCTGGAAACCACATGTTGGGATAGGAGTTCTGAGCTGGAAGCCAGCAGCCCTGGGTCCCAGAAACAATTCTCCCTTGTGACTGTGAGCAAATCTAACCTTCTCAGAGCCCGAGTTCCTATGTTAATGAGATGGTGGATCCAGATTTCTGGTCTCTTCCTTTCCTGGAGTTGGGAAACCCCAGGCTAACGGCTGGAGGCTGGACTGGGGTACTTAGTGGCTCCGTCCTGTGTGGCCTTCTTCCTCCTCCAGCGGGCAGCACAGATAGTGGAAGAGGCCCTGTTCCTGGAAGACCAGCCTGGGGCTGGGGCAGCTATCTCAGCCTGATGCCTGCTCCACCATCTTGAGATCCGGCAGCTCCAGCCAGGAACTGGGGACCTTCATTCTGCAGCCATCTTTTATCCTCAGCCTCCAGCATCCTGTTCTCAAGGAACCAGTATCTCCTCTGGGCTCACTGAAGGGGTATGATGCAACCCTTTCAGTCCAGCTCTTCTGCTCGTAAACTACACGCCTGTCTTCCTTTCCTTTTAGAGTAGAGAAGCCCCAGCTACAGAGGCTGTTTCCCTATGAGGTCTCTGGCCAGAGAAAGCAGTAGCCAGCTGGGTTTGGGGGAGAGACCACAAACATGGGAGTGGGTCTATCACAATAAAAGAATACTTACTAACCTCCATCTGTTTACTATAGATTTATTACAGACAACTGATTTAGCAACTCAACAACAACTGCTCACCCAGCATTGCTCCACACGCTAGAGCTGGGCAGTGCCCAGGCCCACAGGCATTTGAGGGGAGCAGGCAGTTGAGGATTTACACCCACCTCAACGGAGGGACAGGCGAGGCTAACAGCCAGCTCCTCTCCCCCATGTCATCTGCTATTCTTAGACACTTTCCCTCAGTTCCCTGCTCAGCCAGCAAAGGCTGAGCCCTGGAGGCCTCCTGTCTGCATTTCTGGCTCAGAGGCTATAGCGGGCCTTCCCCTTGCAGCTGGGGTTCTGCAGTCCACCATCCAGCTGCTGGGATAGTCCAGGTCAGGCCGCAGTAACGGCGGCAGGTCTGGGGACCTGATGTGACAGCAGAGAGTGCTGCTGGGGCACGAGGGTTGCTGAGGGTGCAGGTGAAGCCTCTTGTGATAAGTCTGAGTGGTTGAATAGCACTTGAAAGTTACAAAACCCTTCCACTCTTGTTCTCTTATTACGATCCGTGAGGTAGTTATTATCCCAGGAGGTGAGGAAGCTGAGGCTGGGGCTGCGGCTGGGGGTGGGAGGGCTAATTCCCAGGCTCACTGCCTCTACCTCATGGCCCAAGGGTTTCCTGGAGATAGCAGAGCTGGAGGTGGCCTTGGTTCAAAGTGCAGACGGTTGCCCTTGCGTCTTGGTCACTGAGCTTGTGATGCAGAGTGTAATTCCTGCCACGGTGAGCACCATGCCAGCATATGCTCCTGGGATAATGGGTAGAAATTGAGGAGCTCTGAGACTAGCCATGCCAGGAGGAGCTGACGCAGGGCTGAGGAAGGGCTCAGATGGGAACTACCCAGGGGAAGGCAACTCTGATGGCAACAAGGAGGCAGGAGAGCTACAGAGGAAAGGGCAGGATGAGGGAAGAGCCTCTCCTCACCTGGTCACAGAAGACAGCTCTGGAAAAAACTAACCCAGGGGTGTCAAAGTCCAAGTAGTGGCTTCCCGAACTTGCAGTGTCCTGACTTACGTTTTCCACCAATATCTTCTCCAAGGACCTTCCCAACAATCAGTGTAAAGATGATGGCCAGAGAGTTACTGATGGGCACAGCTAGGGTCAGATCTGGGTGATCAGAATGAAAAGAATCTCTGAGATGCAAAAAAAATGTTTAAAAAGACCTCTTTCAAGGCACAAAACACTTTCATTACATCATCAAGACAGTTTTTAAAAAAGTGTCTCATGACCCCATTTTTTCAGATAAATCGCAGCAAAGCTCAGGATTCAAATTCAGGTCTCCTGACTTCAAATTCAGTGCTTCCTCAGGATTCCAGCAAGAAGACCTAAACTACAAGGTCTGGGACCATCTTGGTTTGCTGATAAGGATGAGTAAGGTCTTTGCACTCAAGAACTACTTTGATCTCAAGGACATCTGGACAGACAGGTACCCAAAACCCAAAGCATGCAGTAACATGAGTGCAGTAACACCAAACACAGCTGCCACTTATCAAGCACACTTTATGTGCTGGGTGCTTCGTGTACACATCGAATCAATCTTCATAACAACAATGCAGGAAGAGCATTAGCACCATAATGGAAACAAAGGCTCACAGACACCACATAAATGGAGGCAAATTGAGGATTTAAACTGAGGTCTGCCTGACTCCAAAGCCTGTGCCTTTACTGAACTAAATGGATAAGGACAAACCAAAACAGCAGGTGAAGCACATTTGTTTCTGTTTCAGCTCGGGCTTGGGCCTCATGGAATTATATAAGAGAAAAAACATCAGAGGTAGGAACAGGTACAGGACAGGCCCCACAGGGCTGGGTCTTAAGTAGAGGTCACCACAGTCCAGGATCTGGTGCTTAGTTTTGAAGCTCTGACTTCAATAAACGAAACTTCAAAAAGACTTAACGGAGTTAACAATACTCTTAACTTAAAATTTATTACACTTAAATTTTGTACATTTGAAGCTTTTTAAGAAGACAGATTTTATGTTATGTTCTTAAAACACATACCAAAAAAAAAAAAAAAAACTGAAAAAACTAATGGATAAATAAGAAACTGAGTTACTTGTTTGCCAGACTCATAACTGCCAGGCAGGCTGTGTACGTTGGCTCCTCAGCACATTGTTTCCCAGCCCTCCCAGGCCTCACCTGCTCCAGGTAGAGGTGGAGAGAACTGTGTAGCTGCTCATCCCCCACAAGGCACTGCCATGACTGGTATCAGCCATCCAAGAAACTGACACAACTGCCATCTACTCAGAGTGCTTTCCTTAACCTTATACAACACAGAATGTAATGATTGCTAAAGACTGGTTTGCAACAGTAGATGGGGGAGGGAAGCAGCATGGTGCGAGGGAAGAACAGGACACTGGAGTGAGGCAGACCCAGGTTTCCCTATGTGGTCTTGGCTAGGTCATTCAAACACTCTGAGCCTGTTCCCTACCTGAGAAACAGTGATAGCAAGATAACAGCATCACCTTACAAAAGGGCTTTTGTAAGATGAAATATGATAGCGTGTGTATATCCTTGGCTGAATAAATACTGACCACTGTTCTGACTATTAGAATGGTGGACCTTAAAGGATATAGGCAGGGTAAGGGGTGAGATAAGAGGATCCTGAAATTCCAATTTGCTCAAAACTTGGTAAATGGCTAACTGCAGGCATCTGTCCAGAGCACTCAGCCTTCTGGGCAGCAGGGAGTGCCAGAGGCTTTCAAACTTTTTTTAAAATGAAGTCTTATGAGAAACCCAAAATGTAAAACAGATGAAGGTGGAGTGATGCTAGTTGAAGCTGACTGACCTGGAGAAGCAGATCTGGAGGTTGGCCTATCCCCTCCCATGACTTCTGAGGGGTTTCCAAGGGCTATTTGGGGTCCGAACTCCCCTCAAATCCATGGGGCGGGGGGCAGGTGAGACTCCAGGTGAGTTATAGAAAAGTTATAGCAAAAACTTCTCATAGCAAGGTTCAAGAGCATAAACTTTAGTAATAGATGGCTTCGCATCCTTCTGCACTGACATGCTGTGGGACTTAGGAGATGAAATAAGTTGCCCAAAGTTTGGTAACTTCATCGCCTTGGTGGAGACAATCATGTCCATTTTATAAGGTTGAGCTGAGAATTTTTTAAAACGTGTAAAACTAGAACAGTATCTGATGCAGCAGATGGCACACAACAAAAGGGGAAAGGAAATTTATCCTTATTGCGCTCCTCTAGTCCACTGTGCACCAGGTACTGCTCTGGATGCTTCTCAATACTGAACTTAATTCTCTCAGTGCTATGAAGTCAACCATAAAAAATCAAGGTTCAAATAAGAGACTTGGCCAAGGTCAGGCAGGTAGTTAGCAGTGGAAGCAAGAGTGTCAAAGGCAGCCCTTGGGGAATTTGCTGTCAGTCAGGTGGTTAGGACTCTGTGCTTCCACTGCAGTGGACCTGGGTTTGATCCCTGGTCAGGGAACTAAGATCCCATAAACTGCATGGTGCACACACACACACACACACACACACACACAAACAACCCTTCACACAGCCAAAGGAACTTTCTTTCTTTCTCTGCTGCTGCATAAGATTGCCAGGCTTCAAACCAATCCTGTGCCTGGCAGCATACTCATAACCAACCCACCTACCCTACTGCAATATGGAACCAGATCCCTCACTCATGGCAACAAGGTGTTTGAGACACCCCCCCTCCACCCTAAGCACAGCAGATCTAAGCCAGAGACCCACCTGTTGATGCCAAGGTGAGGTAATAGAGAAGGGAACCACACTGGTTGAGAGAAAAGGGCATCAGGTACTGGAAACAGAAGAAAACTACAGTCAGTGTGATTGCTTACCTGAGCAGGGCTGCCTTCTTTGAGCTTCAAAATAAGCCTTTCCTTGGAGGGAGGGGTAGCTATAAGGGCCTAGGGCCTAAGCCATCTGAAAAGGACCCTTCCAGGGCAGAGAGAACATCACTGACTGAACCCCATGCCTTTGCCCTGAATGCCCTCCTCTTCAGCCCTGCTGGTTTCTATCCTCCCCATCCTGCAAGTCCCTGAGTGCCAGTGTTCCTCTCTCCAAGAAACCTTCCCTCAGTCGCCTAGCTCCAGCCTCCCTCCTCTGAACTCACGCAGCACTTTATCCGTACCTCACTCAAAGCCCTTAGCCCTGAGAGGCGGTGTGTCTATGTCTTGCCTTTCCCACTAGCCGAGACTGGCAGCACTGAGCTCAGAAGTAGTACTCTATATTCTCCCTTACCCCACTCCCCAGAGCCAGTTTGAGCCCTAAGCCCTCCGTCTGGAAAAGTCTGTTGGAAGGATCACCACAATAAAATATTGATAGCGGCTCAGGGCATCATAGACTTGAGACCTAATTATATGTATAAGGCCCATTGCTAAGTGCTTTATGTGCCTCACCTCACTTAACCCTCACAACTGCCCCATTAAACAGTTACCCTTATTATCCCCATTTTACAGATGATGAAACTGAGACCCAAGGCAGATAAGAGACTCATCCAAGAGCTTCTGGCGAGTAAGTGGTGGAGGGCAGATTTTGACCCTGATCTGTTTGACTCCAGAGACCAAATTCTTAGCTGCTACCCGCTAGAGAGGGCTCACTCACAGACGCACCTCGGGATTCAAGAAGAGGGTTTTCATTTCCTGCAGCAACTGCCGGGCCCAGGTCCGCTCATGAACCTGCCGCAGGCGGGAGGAGGCCCGCTTCAGCAATGGCTGCGTGCCGCCCCACAGAGCTGCCACCAGCACCAGAGCCAGCACCTGCCCTGGATGGAGAGAAGCGTGACATCCCCCGCAGCCCCACCGCACGGCCTTAGCCCTCCTCCCGCCTCCCATTCCCACCCCGCCGCCCCCACACCTCTTCTCTGCTCTCCGACGCCCCGGGTGTGACTGGCGGGTAGGACAGGCCCCGGGAAGCCGGGGGGATGGATCCTGGAGCCTAGGTTCGGGGTTGTAGCAGGGGTCGGGGTTAGGTGGTGAAGGTGGAGTAAGAAATGAACTTGGGATAGCGGTCTGGAAGCCAGGGGAGGGGCGGGGCCAGCTTACCCAGGGTCGCCGGCATGGCAACGCCGCTCCTCTCCACTTCCGGGAACGAAGGGGGCGGAGACTCGTGATCCGGAAGTGGCGCCAAAGCCTCTTCCGGTTCTACTCACGTTGCTGCTTTCCTCGCTTCACCGCCGGGATGGTGAGTTCTCTTGTGTTAAAGGTGTTGACGTGGGGGTCTGGGCTGGGGCAGGGGCCAATTCTGGGCGCTGACACTGCCGTCCTGTCCCCACAGAAGCCGATCCTGCTGCAGGGCCATGAGCGGTCCATTACTCAGATTAAGTACAACCGCGAGGGAGACCTCCTCTTCACGGTGGCCAAGGACCCTGTGAGCGTCGGCCGACGGGCGGGCCCGCCGGGACCTTGCTGAGGGGGCCCGGGAGCGGGCGAGTTCATTCTCCCGGGGCTAAGGGTGGACAAGCTAGTTTTGCTGCGAGAGATACCAAAGAGTGCCCCGTTCTGAGAAGTAGGGAGAGATCATCCCGGGGTTTGGAGGGCAAGAGCATTACACCGATGGATGTGGGAAAGGACTCCATTGTTGATAGGAGGAGGGAGTAGCCAGGGAGAAGACAAGCAAGGGGACCTTGTGGAAAGGGGACGGGGACGTGGGTCATCTTGCTTATGAGCGGAGAGGGGCTCATTCCGGGGAAGAACAAAACTATTCTACAAAGATAGAGGAACAGACCACCTGGAGAAGGGGGAAGTTGATCCTGGGGCGGCGAGGGATAAAGACCTTAAAGAAGGTGTCCTTGGTATGATTTCAGTCATCCCTCTTCTGCCACTCACTCACTGCAAACAGCCTCTCTGAGTACTGCCTTTTGAGGCACCTCCATATGAAGAAAGTTAACCCTAGTGGCTAAACGTGGGGGCTCTGAAACCAGACAGGCCTGATTTGAATCCTCAGTCCTGCATTCACTAGCAGTGTGACTTTGAACATGCCATTTAACCATTATAAACTTTTAAGTGCACCTTTTTACAAAATATGTGTAGTAATAGTACCTCCCTCTTGGGGTTGTCTTTAGGATTAAATGAGATTATTCAAATAAGAAGCTTACTTGGATAAAGAGTGTTTGTGAGTACCATATTAATGTTAGACACTTAAATTTTAAATTCCTTAGACATTGTTTTATTGGAATTTCACAGCTACCCTCTGAAAAAAGCGTTATTGTCCTGGCCAGTTTACACTTGGGAAAACTGAAGTTCAGAGGGGAAAAGCACAAATTTTGAGATAATACAGTGAGATAGTAGCAGAGCAGGGACTGGAACCCAGGTTTCCCTCCTACGAACTGCTCCCATTTGGACAGAACACCAAAACACTACTGTTTTGCTAGGCTGATACTCAACTTGACCTTTTATTCCTCAAAGGGTTTAGGAGTCTGGGGAAAGGCTGGTATGATGGAGACTTTTTTGCAAGCAGGAAGAGAATCCAGGAGTTGAGTCTTTTTACCAACAACCTGCTGTTCCCCAAGAGATGAGCAGGGGAGGGTAGAATCTGGCCTGGCTAGAAGCTTCTGGGGCAAAATAGTCCATGGCTCTGCCTGTGATGCCTATCATCCTGTCACATTGTCCTTGATCCTCCAGATTGTCAATGTATGGTACTCTGTGAATGGTGAGAGACTGGGCACCTACATGGGCCATACCGGAGCTGTGTGGTGTGTGGACGCTGACTGTATCCTTATCTTGTTCTGAGTCTGTGCTCCCAGGGTCTGCCAGCAATGGAGAAGCTGCTGACCTGAAGCTGGGAGTTTGAGATGCTCTGGTGGGGTTTGGAGAATGATGCTACCTACCTCCTACTCCTTGGTCTGTTCACTAGTTCGGGGAACATCTAGGACAGGATCCAGTTCTGAATGAGGAGGTTAGGATGAGAGAAGGAAGGCTCTCTGGTTGCTGAATAGGGAGATGATTCAGTTGGCCTTCCAAGAGGACAAGGGCTCAGGTGAATTCTGTCACGCTTCTTAACACCCTCTTCAGGGGACACCAAGCATGTCCTCACTGGCTCAGCTGACAACAGCTGTCGTCTCTGGGACTGTGAAACAGGTAAGCCTGGATCCTTCACTTTTTTCAGCATACAGTGAAGACCTATATCATATGTTTATTGAGGCCAACAGGTTCTGGGGAAATAGAGATGAATCCAGAGATGGTTCCCAGTCTAGGGAAAAAGAGACAAGAAAATAAGGAAGACAGAGGCGAAAAGAGGCACTCCAGTGAGATACAAGCCTTGTTAGAGGTAGCAGAGTGCACTGTGAAAGCCGAGGGGGAGGCAAGTGAAGGCCTGAGATGGGGATGGGATCAGCCTGGGAGGTTTCCCAAAGTGTCATATGAGAGTGATTGCTGTGGCACTTGCAAGAGTGAAATCACAGTGAGTGTCATGTCCAAGTCATCTGATCTGGCGGGAGTTCCTGCTTCTTGCGGGATGAAATAGACAGCAGTGGAGAAGCTGAGGCAGGCTAGGGCTAGAACAGGCCTTGAATGTGAACTCGGGAACATGACTTTGTTCTGTGGGACTTGGTATGCTGTGGAGGGCCCCGAGCAGGGAAGAGCGTGTTTAGTTCTTTTTTTTTTTTTTTTTTAAATTTTTGGCCACACCCTCTGGCAAGTGGGATCTTAGTTCCCTGACCAGGGATCAAACCCACACCCCCTGCATTGGAAGGCAGAGTCTTAACCACTGCTGGGGAAGTCCGCAAGCATATTTAGCTTTAGCAAGCCCAGGTAGCAGTGGGGAGCATTGTAGGAACAGACAGAAGACAGGGGAGTCTGTTAAACCACTCCATTTAGTAAATATTTTCTGGGTACCCAGATCTCTCCCAGGTCTTTGCTGGGCACTGGTGACATGCAGAGAAATTAGAGCAGGTCTTTGCTATGGAGAAGCACATTCTCCACAGAGGTGGAGACAGATACAGTGTAGTCCATTGTGAGTGCCACAGTGGCGGGCTGTCTGAGGAGGGACTGTGTGGAGACAGTTAAAAGGAAGAAGATGGGCGAGGGGCTCGAGTCACCGGCACAGGAGGAACAGTGCATTGTGACAGGCAGGGGTAGAGGGCATCCTCCTGGGATCAGCAGGGGGCTGGGACTAACCCGAGACTCTGCCTGTTCCCAGGGAAGCAGCTGGCCCTACTCAAGACCAATTCAGCAGTCCGGACCTGTGGCTTTGACTTTGGGGGCAACATCATCATGTTCTCCACAGACAAGCAGATGGGCTACCAGTGCTTCGTAAGCTTCTTTGACCTGCGGGATCCAAGCCAGATCGGTGAGCCGGGGCTGGGGCACAGGACTGGGGTTGAGGTGAAGGGTGTGGCTCCAGAGCCCAGGGCCTGACATGTGCTGCCCCACACAGACAGCAATGAGCCCTACATGAGGATCCCTTGCAACGACTCCAAGATCACCAGTGCCGTTTGGGGACCTCTGGGAGAGTGCATCATTGCAGGCCACGAAGGTGGAGAACTCAACCAGTATAGTGCCAAGGTAAGGTGGGTGAGGCCTACGCCCATCAGAATGATTCTCTGTGACAGGCAGGATGAGCCCGGGGGTTAAGAGTGAGGGCCAGTTTCACACAGACTTCACCATTTTCTAAGTATGTGATCTTGGTCATATTATATAACTTCACCTAGTCTGTTTATCTGTAAGATGTTTCAAGGATCAGATGACGTCAGATGTTTGAAAAACTTGTCATAGAGTACTCAGGACATGTTACCAGTGATCACAATTAAGCGTTTCCCTGCCCCCACTGAGTGGCAGGCCCCATGCTACACTCTGAGGACAAAGAAGGGAATCAGACATGGACCCTGCGCTCCGGGAGACAGACTGGCATACAGCTAGCACATGGGTCAGGTTGTGAGCTGTGCCACTATTGAGGTCTCAACCAAGTACAGAAGTGTCCTCTGTCACAGAGGAGGTTGCATATACATTTAACCTGTGAAGAATAAATGGAGCTTCAAGCCAGAAGAGAGGGTTGTTCCACAGACACAGGAGCAGTGTGTGTGGAGGCAGAGTTAAGGGAATAGGCGGATTCCTCAGGATGGGAATTTGGTCTCACTGGAATGTGGTGTTGGGGAAGGGGGACCAGGACTAGATTGCGGGTCCAGAGATACGGGAGCTGTGACTTCCCCTTAGGCAGGAGGAAATCTTCAAATGGTTATGCTGATCAGGTTTTCTCTTTATTTTTTAAAATATTTATTGGTTGATTTTATATTGGCTGTATCGGGTCTTGGTGGTGGCATCCCAGAGCGTATGAACTTTAGCTGTGGCTCTCAGTCTTCATGTGGGATATTAGTTTTCTGACCAAGGATCAAACCCACATCCCTTGCATTGTAAGATGGATTCCTAACCACTGGACCACTAGGGAAGTCCCGGGTTTTTTTTTTTAGAAAGCTGTCATAGGCTAGATTGGAGAATGCACAAAAACTAGGTAGTAGTCACAGGGATGTGGGGTACCTGACAGGAGACATTCGGGGTGACCAGTGAGATGGAACGTTACCAAAAGGGTGAAGTCCAGGCTGTCTCAGATTTCTGATGTGGGCTCCTGGGTTTCTGGGGAATGCTGGGATGCAGTACTGTAAAGGTTGGTCAGTCACTCAAGCACTGGCTGTGGCCCACTAAGGTACCAGGCCTACCTGCAGGAAGGGGATGGAACCAAGAAGGCCATAAATAGTGCGTGATGCCAGCAAGCAGTGGAGCTGATCTGTGCCCCCAGATAGGCCTGACTGCAAAACTGGTGCTTGTTCCCCAAAATAGGGGAGCCAGATGCCTCCCTTCCATGTGTCCATGGAGGAGACAAAGATATATTCTTCCCTCACAGTAAGTGAAAGTAACTCAGGGAAGGAAATGACAGTCTTCTGAGGGTCCCTGTGTGAGGCCTAGTGCTTGAGGCCTCTTAGTCATCTTAACAAATGTTTGCAGAGCACATGCCAGGCGCCCATCACTCAAATTCAAGTAAACCCGTCCCAGTATCCTTGAGTCGGGAAGATCCCCCGGAGTAGGAAATGACAACCCACTCGTATTCTTGCCTGGAAGATCCCATGGACATAGAAGCCTGGGGGGCTACAGTCCATGGGGTCACGAGTTGGATCTTGTTTTCTAAATAGAGAAATCGAGGCACAGAGAGGTTGTGTTTGTTTGTTTTTTTAATTTGGCCATGCTGCGAGGCTTGCAAGATCCTGGTTCCCCACTGAGGGATTGAATCCAGGCCCTCAGTAGTAAAAGCACTGAGTTCTAACCACTGGAACTCCCACAGAGAAGTACTTTTAAGGGCAGATTCTTAAACTCTTTGTACTACATAGTCTAGCAGGTTCTGTAAGTGGGGAGGGAAATCAGATGAAAGAGCCCTTTGAGAAAACCTGAAAAAAGGCTGGATGAGTATCGGTCCTCATGAACTGTGACCAAGACCCTGCGAGGGAAGGAGATGCCAGTGGGTTCTGCCTTTTACTGGTTTTGAGCTCTCCAAGTCACACCACCTATTCTGAACCATAGTTTCTTCCTTTTAAAATTCTGTTAAAATACCCACTTCATAGGATTGTTGTGAGGATTAAAAAAAATAGCTGTTGTTATGTGCTTAGCACAATGCTTGGCAAATAGTGTTGCCAAGCAACACTATTGCTTATTGTTGTTATTCAGTTGCTAAGTTGTGTCCATTTCTTTGCAACCCCATGGACTATAGCATGCCAGTCTTCTCTGTCCTCTATCTTCCAGAGTTTGCTCAGATTCATGCCCATCGAGTCAGTGAGGCTGTCTAACCATCTCAGCCTCTGCCTCCGGCAAATAGTAGCCATTCAGTATTTTTTGGAAGAAGGATTAAATGGAACTGCTCTACTGTTGATGATTAATTAATAGGTTTCACCATAAGTGTTTTCCTAGGTGGACTAGCAGTGTTTATGAAACCTGTACACTTGGGGCAGCTTGGGCTTGGTAGTGGGAGTAAATGTTGATTCAGGGGATACTAAGGCAAGCCCAACCTGACTTCCCCTCTCCTTCATGGGACGAGAAACAGTCCAGAATCCTGGCTGAGCCTGGGGTAGTGGGAATGGAGCTGGTCAGAGCCTCCCTCTTCTGTCCACAGTCTGGGGAGGTACTGGTGAGTGTTAAGGAGCACTCCCGGCAGATCAATGACATCCAGTTATCCCGGGATATGACCATGTTCGTCACTGCATCCAAGGACAACACTGCCAAGGTGAGCCTGGGCAAGGGGTCTGGCGGGCCTGCTCCCACCCTCTGACGTGGCTCTCAGCTTCCCCCAAGAAGACTCCTTTTAGAGACATTTACCCTGCCTTCTCTCTGTAGCTCTTCGACTCCACAACCCTTGAACACCAGAAGACTTTCCGGACAGAACGACCTGTCAACTCAGCTGCCCTGTCTCCCAACTACGACCATGTAAGAGAACCCACCCGAGCTTCTTGCTAAAGACTCAGAATGTTTCCAGGATCTAGTTGTTTGTCTAGCAATTAAGAAAAGAGCTCTGGGGGAAAATAGTGTCAGGCAGAGAGGAGATCTCAGCAGGAACAAGGGTGAATGATGGCGAAGCCCTGGGGGCAGGGCAGGAGGTGGCTGAGGGATGTTTGTTCCTTACCCTTAATATCTTCCCAGTCTGATGTAGGAGATACTAAAGGCTTATAGGGTTGGGGAAGAAACGGAAAATGGACTTGGCCTGCCCTATGGGCCCATCTAGAGTTTCTTCCCTTCAGGTGGTGCTGGGCGGTGGTCAGGAAGCCATGGATGTAACCACCACCTCCACCAGGATTGGCAAGTTTGAGGCCAGGTAAAAGGGGAAGGAACTCTTCCAAACAGAAACATCATGAAGTGTCTCTCACAATGGCCACAAACCAGATAACCAAGGAAACTTTCCTTCATTCATTGGCTGCTAGGGAGTACCGCCAGATTGGGGGCCCTCCTGTGACAAGTGTCTGATAGAGCAGTTAAAAGCATGAACTCTTGGGCTCACTCTGAAGCCCTGCACATCATTGGAGTTCTCTGTGCCCAATCACACTTGACTGTATAATGGGCACAGTAATATTATACTTACCTCATAACACTGTGCCAATTAAATAAGTTAATAGTTGTGAAGCTCTTAAGAGCACTGCCCAGCACATGGTAAGGAAGACATTTGGGTCCAGTCTTCTCCCAACTTCATCTTGTTTCTTTGCATTCATTTCCCCCTTATCCCAGTTTCCCTGCTTTATAGTTTTGTTTGGGGAATGGTTCCCATTGATGTGTTTTGGTAGGAGATGGAGACTGAATGAACTGTTGCTTCCCACCCTGCTTTCTCCTCTAGGTTCTTCCACTTGGCCTTTGAAGAAGAGTTTGGAAGAGTCAAGGGTCACTTCGGACCTATCAACAGTGTTGCCTTCCATCCTGATGGCAAGAGGTAGGGCCTGGTGAAGGGGGCTGAGCCCAGCCCTGGTTTGCCCGCCTCTGCTCCTTTCCCATGTCCTGTCCCCCAAGCCTGCTTCCCAAAAGGCAGGCCTCTGACTGGGCCCTGCCTGTCTTGTTTTCCAGCTACAGCAGTGGCGGTGAAGATGGTTACGTCCGCATCCACTACTTCGACCCACAGTACTTTGAATTTGAATTTGAAGCTTAATAAGCCAAATCTCTGGGAATTCCCTGGCGGTTCCGTGGTTAGGAGACTGCGCTTCCACTACAGGGGGCATGGGTGATCTGCAAGCATCACCATGCAGCCATGTACACACACACAAAGAAGCCAGATCTCCATCTGAGCCAGGGTCACAGAAGCTTTTGGACTCTATGAAATAAACTAGTTTGGAAATAAATAGTTTCTGGTCAGATATTTTATCATTTTCCCTTCTTAGTGACACCCCAGCCAGCTGATACCAATCATGGATGCTTTTATTATTTGGACCTTCAGCCTACACTTTGGACACTTCACACATGGATCTGGGCTGGGTTGTAGGCACTCTCTTCCAAGATCCAGAGGTGCCGAGGGGCCTGGAGAGGTTCCAGGAACATCTCAACCACCATCTAAGTACCAGTACTTAGGGTCTAGGCTCAGAGGCTGAATCTGTTGGCTGAGAGCCTTCTGTCTTCTCCTGATCTGTCACTATTTGCCACACCTTCTCCCACGCTACCTCTGAAGGCTCAGGCGGACGGGTCCCGCGCAGAAACAGGCCTGAGGAGGAGGAGGACAGGTAAGGAAGCTGGGCAGAGGCAAGAACTCCCCCGGGGAGGAAGAGGAAGGTCACCTTGCCATAGTCGCAGGCTCTGGGGCTCCGCCGAGGGCCAGATAGCCAGGGGGTTGGGGACGTAGAGTGGGTTCCGGAGCTTTCGTTGCTCTTTTGGCTGACTGAGCCCAGACCACAGGGAGTGTGTTCGAGTTCTCACTTCACACAGGCATCTGGATGGAGTAAGACCATGAGCTTCCAGACTTGGCTGCGTGCTCTAGGATTCTGGGTGGGGGCCCTGGTTAGTAGGGTGACAGCTCCCCCAGGGCAGTGATAACATCTGCAAGTGTTACTGGGATTCAGATCCTGAACTACAATAAAGCAGGAACAAGGCAAAGTCCTAGTTCTTAAGGAGTTCTGCTTATCTTGGCCTGAAAGGATCATGGAAGGCTAATTAAGAATGTGCCATTTGAGGGATTTCCCTTGTGGTCCAGTAGTTAAGAATCTGCCTTTCAATGCCGAGAACGTGGGATCAGTTCCTTGTGAGGGAACTAGGATCCTACATGCTACAGAGCAACCAAGCCTGTGCACTGCAACTGCAGAGCCCACATGCTCCAGAGCCCACGTGCCACAACTGGAGAGTCTGCACCACAGACAAGAGATCCCCAGGATGCAACAAGATCCCACATACTGCAACCAAGACCTGATACAGCCCAATAAATAATGAAAACAATTTTAAAAAGAATGTGCCAAAAAAAAAAAAAAATGTGCCATTTTAGCTCGGTCTAGCAGCAATTCTTTCTTTCTTTTGCTTTCTAGCAGCAATTCACCAGGTGTGCAAAAACATGAAAATTACAAGAGCAAAAGCAAGAAAGTGGGAAAGGGCCCACTGTGAATACTGATCGGTCTAGACTGATGAGTCAGAGACGGCAATGGCACCCCACTCCAGTACTCTTGCCTGGAAAATCCCATGGACGGAGGAGCCTGGTAGGCTGCAGTCCATGGGGTCGCTAAGAGTCGGACACGACTGAGCGACTTCACTTTCACTTTTCACTTTCACGCATTGGAGAAGGAAATGGCAACCCACTCCAGTGTTCTTGCCTGGAGAATGCCAGGGACAGGGGAGCCTGGTGGGCTGCCATCTATGGGGTCGCATAGAGTTGGACACGACTGAAGCGACTTAGCAGCAGCAGCGGCAGACTGATGAGTTTAAAAGAGAAAAAAAAAAAAAGAAAGTGAAGGTACTATAAGCAGTGAGGAAGCTATTCCAATGGTCTACATGGAAAGGAAAGTCTGGATTAGGGAAGTAGAAGGGGACTTGGACGGGAAAGGACTAAGATAAGAAATTCTTAGAAGAAAAGCTGAATATATAGGATGGGGAGAGAGGTAAAAAGTTTCTAACCTGGATAAGCAGAGTTAGTGAAAACAACATGGCGGGGAGGAGGCCACTGGGCAAGAAAAGATAACTAAATATATGATCTCCACATTCTTGGACAGGAGTGAACCCTCCTTCCCCTTGTCTCAATCTGATGAAAGAAAGATGGCTAATGGGAGCAACAAGTCAACCAAATAACGACAGTAATTACCACTTGCGTGCCCACTGTGCCAGGCACAGTGTTAAGCACTTGGTATGCTTTAACTCAGCTAATCCTCTCACACACACATATAGCCCACCTCTAGATTATTGTGACTATTATGATCACCTCCTTGCTACTGATGAAACAGACTCAGGGTTGCTTTTGATCATCCATCAGGTGAATGGTGAGCCAGAATTTGAGCCCAAACAATTTGACTCCAATCCATTGCTTCACTAGAATCAACCCTGCAAAGTGGTAGAGAGCCCCAGAAATGATTTCGGCAGCAATTTCCCCCTTCAGTGCTCGTTTTTAAGCTAGGAGTGCATGGTTCTTGGCTGTGGACAGGGTGGATAGGTCTGAAGGACTGACCGTGGACCCACTCATTTCTAGCTTTGCAGAAATTAGGGGAATGTGTGAGATCCGGAGGCAGGAGAGGAGAGGACACACGGTTTTTCTACAAGAGAAACTCAAAAGGGAAAGATACCTTCTATTTTGGAGGGGAGGGAGGAGGGGCAGTCTTAGTTCCCTGACCAGGGATTGAACCCAGCCCCCAGCAGTGAAAGCGCTGAGTCCTAACCCCCGGACCACCAAGGAATTCCCAAAGATGTCTTCTAAGGAAGTAGGTACCCGCCCCTGTCTTGTGCCTGCCCTCTGGCCCACCTGGACACCCCCTTAGCTCACCTCTCCTTTTCGTTGTTGCACAGGAAGGTGCCAAAAGGGGAGGCATAGGCGTGATCAAACAGCGCCAACAGCATCCCCTCCCCAAACTCCAGCGACAGCGGGAACTGGCGACCCAGCTGCCACACGCAGTCCAGGAAGAGGAGAAAGGTGGGTGCCTCGTGTTTGGGGCGGGCGTGGGAGAAGGCTGAGTGAGCACAGCGCAGCTGGAAGGGGTGGCCAGCCTGGGGAAGGGGCAGAGCGATGGGCATGAGGAAGTGGATAGAGCGGGGGTAGGGCTGGGCTGGGCAGCCACTCACCTGGATCCACTCTCGCTCTATCAGTTCCTGGAATCCAGCCATGGTTCGGCTCAAGGGGTCTAGGATGAGTTGGGCCAGTGAAGTGATGAGCAGGGTGCTGTCCGTGCCGTCAGCCCCATGTACCAGGACGCAGGCCCCTTCCCTGTGGGCCCAGGGCTCATCAACAGTGGCCTGTTCTTCCCTGCCTAGAGTGGCCAGGTCAGGAATAGAATGGGCCCATTTGAAGGCTACCTTTGCTTGCTTACTGAGACATGGCTTTGTATCCAGTCATGGAGAGCCCTGCCCACCTTGCCCTGTTCCCTGTTTTGTAGGGTGGGGGTCTTACTGTTCCATGCTCTGAGCTGCTAGGCAGGCGGTACTCAGAGTCTCCTTCACATGGGACAGCCAGCGGCAGCTCTCTAGTCGATTAAGCCAGCGGTCCATGCTCTGCTCCACGTCCCCACAGGCCTCCACCAGGTGCACGAAGCTCTCCTGTAGGGGCCGCCCCCTGCACAAATGGGAGTCTGGTCATTGTTCCTCCAGCCTAAAGCTCTGGAGAGCACAGCCTTGGAACGAGGGCTCCAGGACAATGAGGGAGACACAGAGCTCTCAGGGGAGCCCATCTGACAAGAGGGCCACAGGACCCTTTGGAGAGCCCACGTAATCTGATGGAAGTGACTCCCTAATCTTGAGGATTCCCCAATCTGCTGGAGGAGGTCCAAGACCCTTTGGGGAAACCTCCTCTGTTGGAGAGGCATAACATTGCCTCCTGGAGAAACAGAATGCTCTGTTGTTGTTTAGTCACTAAGTTATGTCCAACTCTTTGTGATCCCAAGCAGCATGCCAGGCCTCCCTGTCCTTCACTATCTCCCAGAGTTTGCCCAAGTTCATGTCCATTGAGTCGGTGATGATATCCAACCATCTCATCCTCTGTGCTTCCCTTTTCTCCTTCATGGATCACAGCCTTGTCGTGGTGAAGGGGCTTGCGTAACTCAATGAAGCTATGAGCCAAGCCATTACAGGGCCACCCAAGACCAACGGGTCACAGTGGAGAGTTCTGACAAAACGTGGTCCACTGGAGGAGGAAATGACAAACCACTCCAGTGTTCTTGCCATGAACAAGTATAAATCCCATGAACAGTATAAAAAGGCAAAAAGATAAGACATTGAAAGATGACCCTCCCAGTTTGGAAGGTGTCCAATATGCTCCTAGGGGAGAATGGAGGGCAATTACTAATACCTTCAGAAATAGCCCTGGGAAATTCCCAATTTGATGAAGGTGTCACTGTCCCCCTGATGTACCCCAGCCCAATGGGAGCTACACAGTACTCCCTTGGGAGAACCAGTCTGACAAGAGGTACAGAATACTCTTCGGATTCTGGAATCTTCCCAGGAACTGTTCTGTTCTCGATCACCAGGAACCTCCTGCCAGAAAATCTAAATGGTACTTTTTTCAGGCTTGTTTAAAAGCCTTCAGTGACTCCCCATTGCCTTTAGGATAAAATCTAAGCCCATAATCATGGTACTCAAGACCCTTGCTCTGGCCCGGGTCGCCCCTTTAGCCCCTACCTCCACCTCACACTCCACACTCCCACCACACTGTACTGTACTTGAAAAGTTGCTCAGTCGTGTCCAACTCTTTGTGACCGCATGGAGTGTAGCCCACCAGGCTCCTCTGTCCATAGGATTCTCCAGGCAAGAATACTGGAGTGGGTTGCCATGCTCTCCAGGGGATCTTCCCCAACCCAGGGATGGATTCCACGTCAGTGCAGAGACTGGTTCTTTACCACTAGCACCACCTGATTCCAAAACAGGGCAATTGACTAGGCTGGCTGATCCTACACACCTGGAGGGCCTTCCACCTGGCATGGCCTTCTCCCACCCTCTGGCTTACCCCTCCTGTGTTTCAAATCTCACTAAAGCACCCTACTCTCAGGGAAGCTTTCTTAGGATGACCTGTTCTGAGAGGGGAGCGCCTCCAGTGCTGCTGCTTATCACACTGAACTCTAATTGCCCATTTACTGCTGATCTGCCAGCCATGCCTGGGCTGACCACCATCTCAGCCTCTGTGCTCAATGTCAGTCAAATAAATGAATAAACAGTTTTGTATTCTGGACAGGGGAGAGGTCCACTCTCCTCAAAGCACAAAAGCCCCTCAAGACCTCCTCTTGGTACTACCAGCACCTGGAGACAGCGGGAACAGATAACAACTGTGCGGGTACAGCCCTCAGGGTGGGGCTGGGACCAGTGTGGAGACAGTGAGTGTGTGTGTGTGTGTGGTGTGTGTGTGTGTGTGTGTGTGTGTGTGTGTGTGTGTGTGGTGTGTGTGTGTGGTTGTGTGTGTGTGTGTGTGGTGTGTGTGTGTGTGTGTGTGTGGTGTGTGTGTGTGTGTGTGTGGTGTGTGTGTGTGGTGTGTGTGTGTGTGTGGTGTGTGTGTGGTGTGTGTGTGTGTGTGTGTGTGTGTGTGTGTGTGATGAAGTTGTTCCTGGAAGACAAATTTCAGTGTGGAGACAGTGAGTGTGTGTGTGTGTGTGTGTGTGTGTGTGGTGTGTGTGTGTGTGTGTGTGTGTGTGATGAAGTTGTTCCTGGAAGACAAATTTCAGTGTGGAGACAGTGAGTGTGTGTGTGTGTGTGTGTGTGTGTGTGTGTGTGTGTGTGTGATGAAGTTGTTCCTGGAAGACAAATTTCAGTTTACATTAAAAGAAGAGATTTCTCTTTCCAGGCAAAGTTGGGATGCCTAGAGAGGAAAGAGCTTTGTCAGTGGGTGCCTGCACGTGTCCATGCCCACCTGGCAGGATGGCTACCAGAAAAGACCAAAGTCTTGGAAGTTCCTAGAAGACACCAGTCCCCCACCCCTATCCATGACGAGTCCTGCAGGGAAGAACCTAGGAGGGCATGAGAAAGCCCCTTACCTCTCCAGGGGCCGGTGCAGTCGTTTCCAGCCAGGGTAGGCAGCCTTGGCCTCGGTGCCCCCGCCAGTCATGCGAGCCTGTTTGGCGGCCTGGGGCGAGCGTGTGTCCACGATGAAGCCCCGGGCCCCGGGCCGAGCCCCCGCCAGCACACCTCTCAGCAGCTCCTCGTCCTCAGAGCAACGCCGCTTCTGGGGCCCAGTCAGGGGCTGACCTGCACGTAGCAGCACCTGCAGACAGGGATCCAGCTCCAGAAACTGTACCCACCCAGTCCTGGCTCAGGAACTTCGCTCAGGGCATCCCTTCGGCCGGGTGTACACACTGGAGCGGATCTAGAGCTGGCCGGGGCAGGCTGGATGGAGCTCAGGAACCCTACGGGCTTCGAATTGGGTCTCGGTGGGTTGTGGCCAGAGCGGGAAGGGACCCGAGAGTAGGCCGTGGGCGGGTCACGGGTGGACAAAAGAAGAGGAGGTTTCGGGGAGGGGGCCAGACCAGCCGGAGGCGGAGCCAGAGGCAGGGGAGACTCCAAAACTGCGGAGAGGGGCGGGGTCAGCACCGGTGAAGGCACGATTGAGCCGAGGGGGCGGGGCACATTACGGCCAGGACCGCCTAAGAGCCCGCCAGGGAAGAGTGGAGCCAAACGGAGAGGCAGAGGGTCCTAGCCGCGGGGTCTGGGGAGGGGCGGGGCTCACGGTTCCGCTGGGAGCGTGGTAGTAGCTGAGCACAGGGAAGCGGCCTCCCTGGCGGAAGCGGGCGCTGCGCGCCAGGGCACTGTCGTCCACCGCGCGAGGCACGATCACGGCGCGGGGGTAACTGGGGCACAAGCTGAAGTCCTCGTTCGCCTCGCTCAGCCGCCACGCGTTGGTCTGCGGCACAGGGACGAGTGAAGACCCGGTCTATGGCACCCGATGAGTGCCCGGTCCCCGCGCCCCTTCTAGACCTGGCTCTCCCACATCCCCAGCCCCACACAACCGCGCCCACCTCGCGAGCTACTCGCTTGTAGTAACATTCGGGAGGGTGGAAGTGCCAGGCGTCGCCCAACCTCAAACCTTTGGGACGGTAGAAGAACGGAAAGGAGGTGATGACCGATTCCAGGGAGGACAGCGCCTGGGGAAGGAAGTCAAGGGATCTGGAAAAGATCGGAATCCAGTCCTCCGTTCCGCAGCTCCTGCCTCTCCACGCATTCCAGACCACCCTGCATCCCCTTCTGCTCCGGGACAACGCTGGATCCTGAGCCCCCTTGAGAAGTAAACCCTGCTGACTCCTCCCGTTACGGGATAGGGCAACTTAAGTGCCTCCGTTGCATCCTTGGCGTACCTCGATGGAGCGGGCGATGTCCAGCGTCGCCTCCACGCCGTCTATGTCCAGCTGCAACACTCGCAGGTCCTTACAGCGCAGCGTGATGGTGCCCGAGTCACCCGCAACGCTGGGAATGCACAGGCTTAGGTTTAATGTCCACTGACCCCCACCAGGGGGAGGAGAAAGGAGTTTCTTAGGATTGTACGTTATGCAGCGGGGCACCAGCTCCAACTGCGCTAGCCCCTTCCCCTCTCCCTGCCGAGCCACGCGATCCCTGACTACGGGGACGCCCCCGCCACGTCTCACCGCTTCTCGATGGAGTCAACGTTACGCAACAGCAGCAGCCACAGGTCTGGAGTCGCCTGGGGCTCTGGCGACAGCAGCAGGTGGTGGCCGGTGATACAAAGCGTGCCACGCAGCGGGGGCTCCTCTGGGCCCCGCAGGAGCTCGGCTTGGGCCTGGCCGGTGCGGATCAGCTCCGCGAACTCCATTCCTCCAGCGGCGGGCCTGACGCCCGGCAGGGATTGACTCCGAGCGTCAGGCGGGGTGAGCGCGGGCTCCGAAAGGGACAGGAACTGGCTGGGCAGCTGGCGACGCCGGCAGGACAGCTGTTAAGGAGGCCCCGTGGAGGAAGAGATCGCACAGTTTCACAGGAATTCCCCCACTCCCATCGCATTGCTAGCACTTCTTAGTGAGGACCCCGGGACTAGAACCTGTTAGGGAAACCTCCATTTCAGCATCTGTGAAATGGGGGAGAAAAATCTTGCTAAAGTCCTTTAAGACCTCGTGTCTGGGTCGCAGGAGGCATTAAAAAAAAAAAATCTCTATGGTGCTGGCACTCCCACCGATTTAAAAAACAAAGAAAAATACCCGTCTCTTCTCCAGTACCCTGGTGGGAGGGGTGGAAAGGGTGAGTGTGAAACTAGGAAGTGTCTGCATCCTCTCCTACAGCTGAGGCTGCGTGGGGAAATCCCTGGGTCCACCTTAAATGCAAGCAGCTGTGTAGCTGGCACCCCTCCCCCACCACAGCTGGCAGTCCTTGCCTGAGGGCGCCCTCTGCGGGGGCCACATCTGGTACAGTTCTGCCCTCTAGAGCCCCATCCCTCATCACTCCATCCTTTGACCAAAGGGGAATTGCCTATACACTGAGCTGGGCCCTAGGGACCCAAGGGTGGCTGAGGAAGTTTTCCTTCACAGGGTTTTCAGTCTGGCAAGAGACACAAAAACTGGTAAATTACAAGAGTTTCAATCTATTTACTGGAGGACCCATCCATCCAAATATTCTTTTATTTTTTAAACAATGATGCCTACAATGTGTTAAGTGCTGGTCACTAAGAAAAATAAAAGGTACTCCTGCCTTTAAAGAGCCTTCTGGTCTACTAGGTTCCAGGCTTTTGTGTGTGTGCAAAACCCTTCTTTCAAAGAATGAAATCATAAGTGGATTCCTACTCCCCCCCCCCACACACACACATAATATAAACACAAAGTTGGAACCGCTCTATAAAAGGAACTAGATATAAAAGAGTATAAATTGTGAAATTCCAGACCAGGAGCATCAGCTGGGATGGGAATTCGTTAAAAATGCAAATTGTAGGCCCTACTCCAAATATACTGAGTCTGAATCTCTGGGAATGGGGCAGTCTATTTTGATAAGTTTCCAGGGGATTAGGATTTATGTGAAAGACTGAGAAAGACTGGAAAGTATACAAAAAAGCAAAACTAATCTAGGCTGTCAAAAATTAGACCAGTATTACTGAAACTGGGTTCCCCAGAAACCAAGTTCCCTTACTGAGTTTATGATTAATCTCTCTATCCAAAACTTTTTAATCTTTTTTATCCCCTCTGTCTAGTCAAAGCTTTGGTTTTTCCAGTAGTCATGTATGGATGTGAGAGTGGGACTATAAAGAAAGCTGAGCGCCGAACAATTGATGCTTTTGACCTGTGGTGTTGGAGAAGACTCTTGAGAGTCCCTTGGACTGCAAGGAGATCCAACTAGTCCATCCTAAAGGGCATCAGTCATGAATATTCATTGGAAGGACTGATGTTGAAGCTGAAACTCCAATACTTTGGCCACCTGATGAGAAGAGCTGACTCATTTGAAAAGACCCTGATGCTGGGAAAGATTGAGGACAGGAGGAGAAGGGGAGGACAGAGGATGAGATGGTTGGATGGCATCACTGACACAATGGACATGGGTTTGGGTGGACTCCGGGAGTTGGTGATGGACAGGGAGGCCTGGCATGCTGTGTGGTTCACGGGGTCGCAAAGAGTCAGACACGACTTAGCGACTGAACTGAACTGAACTGAAGAGACATTCTGACTCTGAAACTACTATTAAGAAATGTCACAGAAACATCACAAGGTGATGATTAATCCCAGCCTCTTTGTTCTTCCCCTTTTTTTCCCCCTTTTCTTTCTTTCTTTTTGCCCTACCACGTGGTATGTGGAACTTCCCCAACCAGGGATTGAACCCGTGCCTACTGCGGTGGAAGTCTTAACCACTGGACCACTGGGGAAGTCCAGTTCTTCCCCTTTAAGACAAAAAAGAAAAACATACAAAGACAAAGCTGATGTGGATCTGAGACTTGTCTCTTACGCCCCTGCTTGGCCCCCCTGCAATAAACCCTTACTTTGCTGCAAACACCCTGTCAGAGTTTGGCTTTCTGAACTGTAGGTACATGGGCAAGCTATGCTTGGTTACATTAGGAGAGTGTTCTAGACACAAAGGAGCTTCCTGGTTGATGGTAATACTCCTTTGCTTGATCTGTTTACATCAGTGTGTTCAGCTGGGGAGAATTCATGTATTTAATATAAGTCATGTATTTATGACATGTAAACTTTTTTGGGTGTGTGTTATATTTCAATACAAAGTTTTAAAAAGGGAAATGCTCTGGTTGAAGTCCTGGGAGGGGCAGGGAGAGGAAGGTCGAGGAGCCATCCGCAGCTCTGCCTTTACCCTGCACACAGTCCTTGTGGGATCTCCAAGGGAACCTAAAGTTCCTTAGAATATAGCCTGAAATCATTGATCTGTCCCAAGAGTCAGTGACTTGTCCAAGGTCCCATAGAGCCAGCACTGGAACGCAAGTCTCCTGACTCCCAAATTGGGGATCTGGACACTATTCCTTTGCTGAAGGGCCACAGTCATGAGTCAGGACTGGGGGCAGCTTGTCAGCCTCCTATCCCCTCCCCAATCCCTTAACTTGGGTCTTGGGAAGAGGGCCAAGACTCTGGTGTGGACGATGCTTTTCTTATCCTGGAGCAACTTCCTTTCTGGGAACTGGGTGTCTCCTTTTGGGCAAAGACAATAAATTTCATCCAAGGGGCCAGAGGCGCAGGGCTCCTCCTGCCCCCACCCGGATGGGCATCACGTGGCTCCTGGGATAGCAGTCCAGGAAAATCCCAGCCCTTGCACACTCAGCCTCCCACACCCATCTGCTTACCCTGACACACTCAAGCCTCCCTGACCCACCTTGAACATTCACCATCGCACACTCTCTGGCTCATTTCTTTCACTCTCAGTTTCTCCCACTTCTCCCTGGGTAATACTGCCAGCCTTTCCCTAACCCCAGAGCTGCAGCCTTTCCCTGTCGCTGCTCACCCCCTACCATGTCCCTGGGACCATTGAAATTCCAGGCAGTGGGTGAAAATGAGGAGGATGAGGAAGCAGAGAGCTTGGACTCTGTGAAGGCACTGACAGCCAAGCTGCAGCTGCAGACACGGCGGCCCTCATACCTGGAGTGGACAGCCCAGGTCCAGAGCCAGGCCTGGCGCAGGGCCCAAGCCAGACCCGAGCCCAGGGGACCTGGGGCCATTTGCGGATTCGACTCAATGGACTCTGCCCTTGAGTGGCTCCGACGGGAGCTGGTGAGTCTGGTGCGGTGGGTGGCCTTGCAGAGGGCCTTGAGGGCAGTCCTCAGGGCCCAAAACCCGGGGTATGGGGAGAATGACCCTGCCTCCAGCAACTGCCCTCTCCTGTGGCTTTGTCCCAGGGTTGAGGAGCCAGGAATGGACTTGTCCAGTGTTTTATTCAGGGAGCCTTACTGAAGAAGGAGTCCATCAGTCTACTGACCTCATGCTCCTGTGGCTCAGAGGACAGAATCCTGCCCTTGGGGGCCACCAGGGATAGCAAGGGAAGGCATGGCCTCCCAGTCTCCTCTGCAAATTGCTATACCCCAAAGATACAAAGGAGGCACTAACGATGCTGTCCCCAGAGGAAGCCAGTATTAACTAAGTGGCTCTTAATCCAGTATAAAACTGTCCAGCCTCCAGACTGGAGAGTCCATCTAGTTGATCTAAGATCAGGCCCCAGGAACCTGTACTTGTTTAGCTTGATTTTAGAGCAAGACCTATGAGATGGGCTATATAGAGCCAGGGTATGAGGGGGTGGGAAGGACAGAGCCAGGGCAAAGCCCCCCAGGTGTGGACCGGAAGGGAAGAATGGAGGTTCAGCGGGCTCATGCCCTCTCTCGGCCGCAGCGGGAGATGCAGGCGCAGGACCGGCAGCTGGCAGGGCAGCTGCTTAGGCTGCGGGCCCAGCTGCACCGGCTGAAGGTGGACCAAGTCTGTCACCTGCACCAAGAGCTGCTGAACGAGGCTGAGCTGGAGCTGGAGCTGGAGCCTGGGGCCGGCCTGGCCCTGGCCCCGCCACTGCGGCACCTGGGCCTTACGCGCATGAACATCAGCGCCCGGCGCTTCACCCTCTGCTAAGGGATCCCTGCGTGTCTCCTGCACCACCCGCTACCCATTCCCCTGCCCACCTGGGACGAAGGAAGAGAGGGGCGCCCCAGAGGAGCCAGCACCTGGAGAAGGGTCGGGGTAGAGCTGGGGAGATGCTCAGCGCTCTGGGAGCTTAAAGCCCCAGCATCCTGGGGCCCTGCTGCCCGGATGGGGGAGGAGGGCGGTTTGGAGGAAGGGGAGGAGTTCACAGACCCCCCAGTCTCCTCAATAAATCTCTGCTTCCCATCAAGGTCTCCGCAGTCCTTTATTCAGGCCCGGGTTCACTGTCTCGCTGGTTGCTAGGGCCAAGGGTTCTACCTCGGGAGAGGAGGCTGGCCTTGCTGATAGAGAAGCCCTCCTCATCTCCCCTACTGCTCCACTTCTATCGCTCTATCTCATCAAGATCAAGACTGGAAAAGAACTTAACAGTCTAAATCACCCCTATGGAATGTGACTCAGATAAATGAGCTGCTGAAGAACGCAGGATCTTATAGACCTGGGTTCAATGCCAGCTGCAACATTGATTCTCTCAGACCTGGAGGAGGTCTCTTAAACTCTGCATCTGTTTCTTTATCTTTAAAATGGAAAATCCAACTCCACAGTAGTTAGATACATCTTAAGTGAGATAATATACAGTAAGTCCTCAATAAAATGTGCATTATTATCACTAGCCCCAGTCGTGTTCTTACTGTTGTCCTGGGGCCCAGAGATGCACTGTGAAGAGCTCAGGTTCATAGCAAGGGGAGCTGGGGCCTGCAGCCGGACTCTGGGCTCTGTGTCATTCTGTAGGGCTGTTTTTTTTGTTTCAAAAAAAAAAAAAACTGTGTTTCTCAGCTTTTGTTTCTGTGTCACCCTCTTTGTCTGACTTTCCAACTCAGGCTTCCTCTTCCCCCCACCCGTTTCCTGTCTCCCCCTTCTCTCCGCAGCAGCTGAAGGTGCATACAGCATCAGCTTCCACCTCACAAACCCCAACAATGCTCTGTGGGCTTCCCCTCCCCCAACCTGCTGCCTCAGTGCAGGCTCAGGCGGTGGCAACTGGTTTGTTTTCCAATGGGTGGGGTCAAAGCCCAGCTCTTGGGCCTGAGAGAGGCCACCTAGAGTTCCTCGTAACACTGGTGACCTGACCCTCAGCCTCTGACATCTGCCACCCTCAGCCTGGCCCCTGGGGAAAGGGAGATTCTTGGCCTGCTTCGTGCTTGTGACAGGGTCCCTGCCTCCTGCCTGTAACAGAAAGTGCTGCCAGTCTGTCGCCTGCACCGGGGGCCTGGGCAGGAGTGTTTGTTCTGTCTCCCACCTGTTGCAGGAGGTGGTGTCAGGCCTTCGCCTCTGACAGGGGCTGTGGCCTCGTCTCTACCTGAGTTAGAAGGGTTGCCCTACTCTCCAACCGTAATTAGGGGGTGTTGTCCTGCCCTCTGCCCACAGAAGAGGCTATGACTCTGCTCCCTTAAAGACACCAGGTGGTCCTGTCTGCTTCCTTGAACAGCCTGTTGTCCAGCGGACTGTCTGTAAGAGGGGTGTTAGCCTCCCCTCTGCAAATAATAAAGTTCTTGCCCCATGCCCTGACATGGCATAGCTGTGGTTCCATTGTGTGCCTAGCAGCTGTGTGCGCCTGGTATCTATCTGACTACCTAGCATCATATCTGCTCTCCAGCGATTTTACAGGGATGTCGTTCCCCCCCGACTCTGAGGTGATGTTACTTTTGCACTCTGGCTGTATTGAAAGGGTCACCTGGCCCTCAGACCAACAGCCGTGCAGCTTGCCCTTCGCTGAAAGCTGAGTGGGTGTCTACTCGCCTCCTGCTCACTGGGGCTTCAAGGCAGCCCTTGAATCTCTGGTCCAGGTGCTCCCTCGGGGGGCGGAGGAAGTTCCATCCAATATCCTCCGCCACCTCCGGGTGCCACCTTCGGGGTGAATGGGGCCTGGACTGGGGGTGAAAGGACCCTCGAGGGCTGAGAGGCAGGGGGCGATGGCAGCAGGAAGCTTGGGGTGCTGGAGGCTTGCGGTTGGGCTGCTGGGGCCCGGTTGGCTGCGGAGCCCTCAGGAGGAGGCAGGAAGTCAGGGTGGGACGTGGGCGCGGGGAGACAGCCGGTGGCTACGACGGTGAGGGGAGCCGAAGCTGTGTCTGGGCAGCCGGGCTAGGCCAGGAAGACCATGTGAATGGGGCCGGGGGCTCCTGGGCTGGGCAGGTAAGGAGTACCAGGAACAGGGGCCTAAGGGCTGGGTGTGGGACCTGCGAGCAGAAGGCTGCAGCTGGGCCTGGGGTCAGGCTCCCCCGGGAGGCAGCAGCCCTTCAGGCTGGGGTCAGGAACACCTGGAGGTCAGGTGGGAGGCAGGCTGAACAGCCAGATCTCCCCTTTCCTGTGTAGCTGTCGCCTCCTGCCTCCACCACACTGCCTGCCATCAGTGCCCACCTCACTGGGAGCTTTCTCCTTGGGGATCTCTTAGGTACTGTAGAGGCCTTCAGAAATCCCTACATCCAGCCCCTCATCCCATGATGGATAAGCTTCCTGAGGCCCAGATTGGGCAAAGCACTCCCTCCCCACAGTCCGTCAGCAAGGCAGAAGCAGATAGGGTGATGACCCAGGGAGAGGTGATGGCCTAGGATGTGAGTCCCCCCTGGAGCAAGGTGATGGACAGGCTTGAGTCAAGGGTCCCAAGAGTCCTTCCGCTTGCTGGTGCAGACCCCAATGACAAGACTCTCTTGAGAGAGGGAGGGGAATCACCCAGAGCATCCGGAGGGACACGTGAGAAGTGACTTTAGCCTCGACCCACACTGCTTGAGAGAAGGAGGGGATCTTCCTTTGGGAATGGATGGGCGTGCAAGGGGCTATTTACCATCTGGGATGGGGCCTGGGGCGGAAGTATCTGACAGGACTCCGGGAAGTTGGGGGGTGAGAGGATGATGGGAGAAGGGAAGAGGAAGGGCTATTTTTATTCTGGACAGGGGTGCCGTTGGCCCTGGGCAAGGACTGTCTGGATTTCTATCTGGAAATTTGCCACTCCTGCCCCTGCCAAGTGTCCACAGGATGTCCTTTCCTCTTCCCTTTGCTCACTCCCGCCCCCCCACCCCCGCCCCTGCTGCTGCCTGCTTCAGGCCAGTGGGTCCTGCTGGTTCCTACTTCAGACCCCAGGAAGGTGGAGGCCCAGGGAGGCAGAGTCAGCTCCCTGTCCACCCCCTCACTTTAGCTCACTTTAGCCTGCAGTTTATGGGGTAAATCCCCACCTGAGCCACATTTTCCAGGTTTCCCCTGCCTCCCCCACCGCCATTGGAGTTTTTCTTGAAACAGTTTCCACAGTCTCAGCCATGTCGCAGTCTTTCGTCCCCAGCTCCAAGGCCTGCAGCCTCTTGTGGGGCCTGGAAAACAAGCTGGGTCTTCCCTAGACTCCTCCAGACCCTGGACAAGCATGGGCCATCCCATGCCCCAGCCTGTGCTGAAGGATGATTCAGGGTCCCTCGCCCTCGAGGCTCTGGGACAGAGGTGCTTCTCAAAGGGAAAAAGGGCCAAGAGATGGAGCAAGAGGATGGGCGGAAGCTCCGGAGATCGAGAGGAGGGAAATCAAAGAGAAAATGGCTGTGATGTGCGGTGGGTAGTACCTGGCATGCAGTAGGTGCTTAACAGAGGTTAGGCAACCACTTCTCCTGCAAATGGTGTACCCAAGGGTGTGTGTGTGGTGGGGATGTTGGGGGGGCTGTCCGTACCCGGAATTACTCCTACTTAGCACCTTGGCAGGCCAGTGGGCAGCCCATTCCTTCACACTTGTGGTGTAGCTTTGCAAATGAGCTTGTTTCCTGTGTGTTCTAGTGGGTGTGAGAATTCTAGGCTGGGCCACAGGGTCTATCTTGGAGGAGAGTCCCACATATACCTTCCTACAGACACATAGACACGCACACACACATGATCCTTCCCTTCCTAGCCCAAATATCATTCATATCATCACTAGGAAATGTAGGTGTGCATGGATGCTCAGAGGCAGAGGCAGGGACCACATATATATCACACATCAGTTCTGTTCAGTTCAGTTCAGTCGCTCAGTTGTATCTGACTCTGACTGCAACACTCCAGGCCTCCCTGTCCATCACTAACTCCTGGAGCTTACTCAAACTCATGTCCATTGAGTCGGTGATGCCATCCAACCATCTTATCCTCTGTCGTCCCCTTCTCCTCCCACCTTCAATCATTCCCGGCATCAGGGTCTTTTCAAATGAGGTCAGTTCTTTGCATCAGGTGGCCAAAGTATTGGAGTTTCAGCTTCAACATCAGTCCTTCCAGTGAATATTCAGGACTAATTTCCTTTAGGATGGACTGGTTGGATCTCCTTGCAGTCCAAGGGGCTCTCAAGAGTCTTCTCCAACACCACAGTGGGATCCTATAAATCCATGCACAGACCCACAAGCTGATGGCTTCAAGGCCAAGCTCAATTCAGTGAGAGCAGTGCTGAGGGGAGCTGAGTTTGTGGGTGGGGTGGAGGCAAGCGGGGCCCCCATCCTGGTGTTGGTTGGAAGATATCTGGAACTATATTTCCAACCCTTGGTCTAAAGAATGCTAGTCCCACGAGGCTCCTGGGAAGAAAACAGTTCTGGGTCCAAATCAACACAGCCTCAGCTGTGAAGCGTCCCATGTGAAATTTACCATCAACATTAGCTTCCCCAGAGAAGGCGGCTGTTTGATCTTGTCTAACCCAGTGTTTCTCAGATTTCGGTGGTCACAGAACCTTTTTTCTTGTATCCCTAGTCCCTTGCCTGCACCTCCGGAGACAAGAGGAGCAGTGGAAGGTTGATTCTTCTCAAAGGATTGTGTCTCTTACCAGAGTATTTGCGTTGGTGGGGACTTGGTTGTTTTCTGTTTTTCAATTATAAAATTAGCACCTGGCTGCTTCTAAAAATTTAAACCGTAGGGACTTCCCTGGTGGTCCACTGGCTAAGACTCTGTGCTCCCAGTGCAGGGGGCCCAGGTTCGATCCCTGGTCAGGGAACTAGATCCCACATGCC